TAATTTACAACAGGTGTGTTTAATTAGGTGCTGTGTGTTTTAATTAGCATCACACTATCTACCTGTAAACCTGTCAGGTGTAACACTGGGATGTAGACCGATTTCTGACATGTGTCTACAAATTGAAGACCTAATACTTTTTTCCTTAAACCCTAACCCATCCCCATTAATGTTAGCTACAATATTTATGATAGAGTAAATATTTCTATGTAGCACTCCTTTTGGATTCATCATTTTCTCTCCATTCCCTCCACACTCAAATCCCAGCTACCTGACTTGACAACTGATCAAGGTTAATGAATGGTGAACATGTACCTGTATACATTTCCTCCCTCTTTCAAACCCTTTCAAATCAATTTCATCCATAAACTTTAAAATGTTAGCTTCTAAATAATTGGGGACTCCTCGGTTCCACTTAGTGGTGGGGGTTGGTCAAACTTCAAAATTTTTAATCCTCCTCAAACATGCCTTATCTGGGTCTTTGTAAGATTTAATTCATTGAAGTCAATTACTCAATATGAGCTACAGATATGGTCACAGTGTGAGTTTGTGTATCCTAGAAACAAAATGGCTTCTGGGGGTAGGGGTGTTAAACTTCTTTGTGGATAGCGACTTTGGTGGTTGTATGGTGACTTCCTGTACTAGGAACAGAGAATACAGATTTTAATAGTTTGTGTTTGGAGTCTGCATAGGGTACGTGTTATATTGTGAAAAGAGAGAATCAATGATTCCAGACATAAGGAGGGTGTTACCAAGTTCAGTGACCCAGGAGACCGTCCACACTTCACAGCTACTGGGTGACTGGTGTTTGATATTATGTAACTTCCCTATCACTTCAGTCTGGTAACTGATCACACTAAACAGGCACTCCAATAGGTTACAACATCTTGCTTATCATGGAGAATGAAATTTGAAGCAAGCAAAGTGTGAAGTGCATGCTTGTTTCTATAGCTGTAGGCAGATATTATTGGCAGGTAATTTTTTACCATCATTAATTATACAGCAGTCTGTGCCTGCATAAAAGAAACTAAAGTGTACATAATTTTCTTAAAGACCAATTTAATTTTTTTAATTTTCAGTTTGGAAAAAAATGACATTTTTTGGCTGAGAGAAACAGCCTGTTTTTGACTTTAACACTTTAGAATGACTGATTAAGACCTTATAGATGTATATATATATAAACTGGCTCATATGTACTTCTGATATTTAATCTGCCATGTTTTGGATCCTTTCTGATTATACCAGTATCATATGTACTTTGAGGTATTTTTTCATTAACTGTTTTCCATAAGGAGAACAATATTATCTCACAATAGATCTAATTTGGTTTCTTTGGTGGAGGTAATTTCATAACTAATCTTTGCACTGTAGTGGTTCAACAAGGCAACTTATGGTTACACCTAGTTGTGGCTACCTGGTAGCCACAATCTGTAATTATAGACCAGTCGGTGGCAGTTTCATAAAACCACTGTTGGTGGCATCCTGATTGATAAAAGGATGTAGTTCTTTTTGTAGAACAATTATCACCCAGTTGATAACTTTTGGGCAGAAAGCTGGTGGCTTTCTATCTGAAGTGCCATTTAGATTCTTCCTTTTCTTTCGAGACCCTAATAAGTAGGAAAGAAAATGCTGCTTGACCTCCACAGCCTTGATAACAAACCCCTAGTGACCATAGACATGTAAAACTGGACAACAAGCCATAAACATTAAATTTTATCAAAAGGAGAACCACATCCCCATCATAAAAACAGCACATTACTGTCAATGTTAAAGTTTAAAATCACTCCACTGCTCTGGTTGCTTCACTGTCTTGTCTGTGTGTTGGAGATAGGATAGGTTTTGGTTGGGACATTTAATATTCAGAAAAAATCTGAATTTCTCACATGATAAACCCAAGAACTATATCAGTATATATTTAAGTGAATATTCCTTCTAAGGCAGATACTAATGGATCAAAATAATTTATCTGGTTTGAAGAGATGTCTAGAAATATTAAAATTTAATTGGCAAAAATGAATAGACATCTGAATTTCAAAGTACCTGGTAGAGAGAAATGTCACTGTATTCCGTTAAATCTTTACATATCAGAGGGCTATAATGGAATCCAAAGATTTATGCTCGTGAGTCTCCATTATTTTCACAAAATTTAGTTTTGAAGTGAAAAAACAAGGATTAAATTCAAGAGATGTTTCTCCCAACACTCTAACCTTAAATTATATCTTGACTAGAAATAGTGGAATGCTTTACCCAGCACAGAGCTCAAAGACAGCTAGCTGCAGGTATTGGATAAAATGGATTGATTTTTGGTTAGAGGAGAAGGTCTAAAGCTGTCTATATTCTGTAACTATCTGGAGGAAGCCTACTTGTGAAGACCTCATCTGAAAACTTCAAACAAGTTCAAATATTTGTCATGTTCATTTAAGTTCAGTATTTTTTTATCATTGTATTATTTTCAAATGTGAAAGAAGTTTAATATCTCTTGTCTTTCAGCAAGAGTTTGTTATTTCATAACAGAACTGAATATTTTTTTTATTTATGCCTTCACAGAGAAAGATTCCGTTAAACCTCTGACTGACATCAATCATGTTTTCCAGTACTGAGAAGTGACAACCTCAAATCAAATCCGTCAATTTTCAGCTCTGGAAAAAGAGAAAAAATTGACAGGTATTCACAGATAAGAAAATTATCCTGAACACAAATGACACTGTTTTGACAGTTTTCCAATTTATATTGAAATATGATCTTTTTAATCTTTTAAAAATGTGAACTTTTTAAACAAAGTCTGCAATGGATATTTTGTATCAAAAATGAAAACTAACACTATTAAACCCTAGCCTTTACAACCTGACATTTCTTAACAGCTCAATTACTTATATAAATGTTTAATGGTAATTTAAATGACTAATGCCATTTAAACTGTGTCAAATATTTTATAAACATCTTAAAACTTCAATGGTCTGCCAGTCACATTTACATGTAAGGAAGTGTGACTAAATAAATTTGGTCTTTTTGTTGTGCGCTTTCCTCTCGCATGTTAAAACCTGTTGAAACTCAAAAACCCAAAACAAGACATCGGAAGATTTCAGACATGAGTAATTTTCAATTTTTCCCACGAAATGTGGGACGATTCAAGTCATTTCCCAATTTTTTTACCCTTTTCTGATTACATGGTCTGATTAGGAAGCTTCAGCTGTAAAAGTCATTACCAGTATCTCTTCCATACAAAAAGGGTGTTTAGATCTGGATTGGAACAGATGGTGAGCTCCCTTTATCCTGGATCTCATCCCCACCCCCTACTTTTCACTGCTTTTGGTTATGGTCTGAACAATATCACTTATATAACTAACTCCCCTACTCCTGGAATACTCACAGATTCTATATCACAACCCTCAGGATTTCATGTGTTTTTCAAGGCACTCAATCTCCCTCAATCCTTGTTCAAGTTTCACACTTCACTGGGGCAATGGGCACCTTCAAACCCTATATAGTTTAAACTACATTCTAAACAGCATTTAATTTGTGGTCAAACATTGAGAAAAAAACAAAAAAAAAAACCCAAAGGAATCAGAAGTATAGTTTACATCACATCAACTTTTTGTTTAGATTTCAGGAAGGCCTTCTTTACTCCTTCCTGACTTGACAATAAGTAGCCTGCCAATCAGCCATACTATAACAGCCTTGGTACTTACTCTACCATAGTACCATATTTCTCTCTGTCTGGCATCAGGTTCCCACTGGGGGGTTCCTCTAAATGAGATAAACACCTAACTAATTTGCTGTGATTAATAAGGTGAACTCAATATCCAGCTGTTAAATTTACCTCCCTGTGTGTACCAGGGGAAGGGGGAGGGGGTAGGGATGTAGAAGGGGGAGGGGCTCATGTCTGTAATATGGGAGTAGAAAGGGGGAGAGGGGGAGATGTGGGGAGGTAAGGAGGATGGAAAAGGTAGGGATATAGAAGGGGGAGGGGCATCACTTATGCCCCAGTAAATGTCTGTACATGTGTTCTGGTGATTATAGAAACAGGAAGTCAGTACAGAAGGATGGAGAGTCACAACCAGATATGTCTCACCACTGGACCAGTAAAACACATCTACAATAATCGCCTGTTTTCTGCTTTCACAAACATTTCTACATTAAATGTTTATAGAATCAAATTCCGGATTATTCCAGAACTGATCTGGATGGGACTAATGGTGTCAATGCGATAGATTTAAAAAACTTTGTGTACTCTACTGGAATCTAACTACAAGTACTTTCTCACATGTTTTTGGGAATCGGTTGGTTTGTGGTAAATATCCTCAAAGCTTTTTTCCCCCCAACTTCACTTTGGAATGTGCATGACCTTTTCTCCTACTCTGGGAAGAAAACTGACCAATTTGGAATCAGTAGCCATCTAGCTTTCATCATCTAGACCCTTGACTGATGAGGGAGATGAAATAGTTGTACGGTTTAAGTCATTATTTGGCTGTATCCATTTCTAAATTTCTATTGAAAGAAGCTTATTCCCTTGAATCAGTTTTATGGTAATCCCAGGAGGAAAATTTCAAGGGTAAAAAAAAGGAATTTAATTAGTTATCATGCAAATACATTTGACAATCTAAATAGAGAAAATTGTTGCACATTTTCAGGTGTCCTAGTTAAAAGCACAGACTATGCAAAGTAGGAAAGAAATCTTCACAGAGTCAAACACATCAAAGAAAATTTTGAAAGTTTATCTTTAAAATCCTATCTTGTTTTTCAATGACATTAAAATAATAGTGTATTTACAGTAGAGGTTTTAATACTGGCATACCTATTGATATAAAATTAAAAAATTCATACAGTAATTTTGATTTTTTCTCCTCAAATTTCATTCTTAAAACTGGTCACATTGTTATCATTTTCACCATAACAGTCTGCTCAAAGCTGGTGCTGCAGGAACCCGCCCCTGCTTAAGCTATATAAGTATAAAGTGTGTAGCTAGGAATCAATTTTCCTTTTATATTCATGTGTTGTAGGTTCGGATGCTGACAGGATTCAAGCAGACTGCCATCTGAGGAATAAAATACCACGGCAGGATTAGTGAGTGAACCCACGCAGCCTGATTACAAATTACACACACAACTTGTCTCATATTAACCAGTGGATAAGGGATGCTGGCACATCACTACTACCATTCTCTGTCCAGATCAATGGAGACGGCCTGGGAACTGAGGAGAGGCCATGGAATACCAGCTTGGTGACAGTTGCGGAGAATGACTCAACAGGACTGGACACAAGTCTAAATGTTCAACAATTAATGCTACTACGTCTCTGTTGTGTCGAAGACTTGATACATTGTGATACTTGTTAAAACCACACACACTGCTGGCTGCGTCAATACTGCATAGTGATACACAGTAGCCTGGTGTCACAGTAGCACACAGTAGCAGAGCAGACAGCAATTCTCTTTGAATGGAGTAGCATGGGTTAAATAATGGAGGGTTACGAGAAAATGTTTGGTGTTTTCGTGTGTGTGGTGATCGCGGTGCTGGTACCTTGTGTTAACCTTATGCACATACGTTGCACCGAAGTGTATGACATTCAGGATGGCTACTATTCAGCCAATTGTAGTGGTCGTGCACTACAACACATACCCTTTGATCTCCATCATAACATTAAAGTATTAGATCTTCAGAATAATGAACTCATTGAACTAGTATCAAATTCATTTGCAAAGTATGACAGTCTTACGGAGCTCTATTTACAAAATAACTCTATAAGGGTCATTAAAAAAAATGCTTTTTCACTTCTTGGACAGTTACAGATCCTGGATTTGTCCAGCAATCAACTTACTACTGTTCCCACGGCTTCCTTCGATGGATTGCCTTCTCTGAGGAAACTCAGCCTCCGAGGCAATCGGATTAACAGGATTCAACCTGAGGCTTTCTCACCTCTTGTTAACCTTAGGAATTTGTTACTGGATGGAAATTATTTGCAAACGATCGCTGACAATGCGTTCAAAAATATGGATTATCTCGAAAATTTGGAATTACAACATAACAACTTGGAGTTTATAAACGAAAATGTTGTGCAATATTTCACTCATAGGTTTACATCTTTTAAGCTTTATAATAACCCATGGGTGTGTGATTGTAAGATTCGCTGGCTTGAGGATTACTTGCTCCATCAATCGACCAATCAGAGTGAAGATAACATCCTCCAGTGGATATTTCCAGAGGGTCAGCCTGTTTGTCAAGGCCCTGCGGAACTCCAGGCTCGTGACTTCTCATCGTTGACTGAGAGAGATTTCGTGTGTCAGATAAGTATGTACACAAGTGGACAGGATGTAATTTCGGAGGTCGGAGGTCAAACAAAAATGTATTGTAAGTACATGGCAAATCCACATGTTGATCCAGTGTGGACACTTAATGGGGATGTCCTTAACCCGGCAGAGACAGAAAAATATGTCATCGTAACAGAAGGGTCAACCATTGTGACTAGTATTCTCACGATCAATGATTTTCAAAAATATAATATCGGGGAATATAAGTGTTCAGTGGAAAATGCCCGAGGGCCAGTAGCAATATCCTTCATGGTCACTCTTGATGGGGTTGACCCAATAGCTTATACACTTCCTGTGTCAGAATTAACCAATCAGAGTCCTGAAAATTCTCACACAGTCACCATAGCTTTGTCAGTGATTGGTGGATTTATATTTTTACTTTTAGCTTCAGGATTTATAATTTTTGCAATCGTGAGATGTCGTAGACAACAGAGAAAAAAGAGTGAGCAACGTAGTAAGAGATTTAAAGAACACCTAAAAACTAATGTTCTCAATCATTCTGAGATAATGGAGTGTAAAGACTATGAAAAGCCGGATATTTCGGTGGCAACTGAGCTTCAAGAGCGTGGCCCTTTCGATCGTGAACCTATTTATGACCCTCACCCCTTATATGACCAGGTACCTGTGGCATCAAATCTTGACCAGTCAGAAAACAATACCTATGTGTCATTTAAGTCCGAGTATGTTGAACCAGACGAGATGACACAATTATATACTACAGTAAATAGAACTAAAGGAAGTGACGGGTCGCAGTGTGAGTCGACCTCACCCCTTCTTGACAATTGCTCCCCAATCATGTGTGACTCTCATGACTTGCTTTATGAAACAAGCACAGGTAGTTCCATATACACTCCAGCATTCTTTCCAAAATCTCACACGCTTAATTCGCGCTATCTGCCATCTATGAGTTCCTATGACACATATTTATCATACACACCCTACAGCACAATGTCACATAGTTCTCAACAGCCTACCTCTACCCCGCCCCTCAACCCCTCTGTACGTAGCAAAAGTGCTTCAGCTAGCAACATTGGGCCAGTAATGCCCCCGAAGAAACCCCCGCGTGTGTTCAACTCACGTGACAGCATGTGTCTGTCAAACACCAGCAGTAGCGGAAGTGACACCATCCCAAAACTTTCGCTCCCGAAACCTGGCACGGTGGATGAATTTGGCACCGCTGTATGACCACAGAGGATGTGGGTGTTGTATAAAGTGGGCGTCGGCCCTCAATGGGCGTCGCCAAAATGTTTACAGTGCTCTTGTTATTTTCTGTACCAATGTGTAACTTATGTATGTAGTTTGTCGTTCTGGACATAAAATTCTATTTTTGTATCTGATGTATTGATTGTTTGATGTGAACGAGATATATGTCTATATTGTTACCAGCTAGGATAAAAGGACTGGTATCTTTATAGTGTATAAATGTTTTATTGTTTTTCTTTAGAATGGAACAATGAAGGATAGAGAAGTCTCAAACAGTTACAATGTTAATGCATAATTTATCGATTTTATCTCTACAGTATATCGAATAACCACATACATTTTACATGAAAACATCTCTGAATACTTCACATGAAATATAAATAGTGTACCATATACTGATGCCTATATACCCTGTACATGGAACGTCAAACAACACACACTTTCACTGATAAAACTTATTATTTTGAAATAAATGTAATGGAATATTTTAGTCAATAAACTTGGAATTCACAAGTTAAATATCAAGAAATTAAATTTAAATGCTCATCTATCATGAGGAAATTTTTTTTCTTAAAAATTTGACAAACTTTAATGAATAGTTTTCTGAATTTTTTGCTCATGATTACAGTAATTACTGGGCCCAGATTTCACTAACATTCCAGTGCAAGTCTGTAACAATTACATCCAAAAGCAAATCAGGTCTGTCTGTTTTTTTTCTTACACGGAGAATTAATCAGGAATTGTATTGGTAATTACCCAGGAGCTGTATGTCGCTACACTGTCAGAGTAGGCACCATCACCAAACCTTCACAGATTGGCAAATATTTGACTGATCAATAAGGCATTCTATCAAAAAACTTTGAAGCCAATAGTCTGTGTAAGTTCCTAATGATAGATACATAAATTATGAATTGCCAAGCATTACAATGAGTTCAGTCAACCCCTACAGTTTTATAATTACATTTACATGGACGGTTGGGATCTCTGTTTCCACTATGCTTCCTCTGACTTCATTGATTGTGCATCTTAATTAACTTTCCAGAACTGAACAATTCCTTCAGGCAAATTCTTATGGAATTCTAAAACAATTTGACACTCAAACAATTTACGCTCTTCTATTGACATACATCTAATGGGATGTATTACCATTATGTTCCTATGTAACTTCCTTCGAAATTGATTTTTAATCCCCAAAAAAATAAAGAAAGAAAAAATATGCATTCATGGATCATAGATGATCAATTTTTTTTCTAAAAATACATATTTATTTCCCAAACAGAAAAAAAGGATATCACATCAATCAAAAATCAATGAAACCAATGCAGTCAGCAAAAGACATTTTGTTTTGATTCCTCAGCGAACGGATAAAACCACAATATATTCTATTAAATAGCTGACACAAAGACTCGATTGGTAAAAAAGTAAAGATCTTTTTCCACATACAGCTATTATAATTACTAACTGCTGGATTGTCTGTAAATCTGACTACAATACTACACAAGAAAAATCTCCACACATTCCACATGGACATCTTCCTTGTACAAATGCTATACAGGTCAAAGGTCAATACATCAAAATATTATGATAGATATCATCTCTTTGGCAAATTTGATTATAAAAGTATGTAAAAGAAATATATACAGGTAGTCATGATGTGTATTTTGGAGGTCAAAGGCTTAAATTGTATAATAGATTGGAGTGCTTGCAGATGTAATAGATTCATGATGGTCGAGGATTCAGAATATGGTAGGGGGTCCAGATGGCTACTTTGATCCAGATGTGGGCCATTGTTTTTCTGTAGACATACCTTAGTAATGGTGAAGGTGCCAGCAGTGTCAGGTCCACTTGCTTCTAACATAAACATACATACCATTCCAAACATATCAACATCTATTCACATCCCATGTCCACTACATGAACACTTCAAGTCCACTTTCATGTAATTTTTTTGGTCAAAAAATCTAAACTACATACCCAAAGGCCAACTTTGAAAATTTCAAATTCATGCTTTTTAAAATAAAATAAAGACCATGTTTAGTATGATTTCATATATTTATGTTCTAGAACATAAACACATATGGAGATACTAAGAACATTAGCCATATCCTGTAATTACACCCTAACTTAAGAATGACAGGTGCCCCCCTCCTCCTATAACTGTGCCAAATGAACTGTAGTGGGGACCCATCCCAGTAAACAGCTGTCTGAATCCAGAAGCTGCAGAGGCAGGAAAACTGGATAAAGCAGGAAACAGGATCAATAACCCTCTGCAAGCACTGGGACCTAATTTAAGTTAGAACTGTTGGAATTCCTTAACAGTAAACACAAAACCTACACAAAATTCTTCATATATGAATTTTACTGCGGCACTTAAATTAAAATCCTAGTGCACACTCCATTTCTGCCAAAGCTTGAATCTCGAAAGGGATATATTAAGGTTTTGCAGATATACTTATACAAAAGATGTTTCGTTCCATTCTATATCAAATTTTATAGCCACAATTACAATGTGGTTTAATTAATTTCTTAATATTATTGAAAGATTATTTTAACCTTAAAATGAAATTGATGATAAAACAGTGTGATTTTAGATGTATATATGACATAAACTTTAATAAACATTAAAAATTTACAACAAAACTTAACATGTAATGTTGGACTGATAGATGAAACATTCCAGACTTTTGTATGTCAACCATAGGAATTAGATTTCAGCAAAATCCGGGTTGACTTATTCAAATAATAATTGTAAGCTTACATTTAAAGAATCATTAAAGCAAAATTTCATGAAGAAATAATCAAAGAATTCTGAAAATTAAATTGAAATTTAAAAAAAAAAAATTCAAAAATGAGTGAAATTTTCAGAAATTGTGGAAATTCTGCAGCATTAAGGCAAGGAAGATAATATATATTTTATTTAGGAGAGGGTTGTCAATAGCTAGTTAGACTAAACAACCTGATCCTGGTATCTGAGATGTACTGGGCTATATTTTCTTGTAATACTGCTGTTACATAAGGGTCAGGGCTACCATATCACCTGTACAGGTGTGCTTCAACAATATACACCCAGAGATAAAGCTTTTGTACGTGTTGTTTGGCTTCAATTTATTTGTTGTGAATATTTTGCTGCAATTGTGTTAAGTTGTTTGTATGGTAATTGCTTGTGATGTTATTAAATTTACAAATATAAATTGCTTTTAATTAATGCTTCATTTCACATTTGCATTTTGTGATAAAAGCTCAAAACAAAATGTTTTCAATAGAAATGTTTCAAATACCAATCAACAGTTCTCAAACAGTGAGTCATGTAGTAAGATTTTATGAATTGCCATTTATTGAAAAGTTCACATATTTGTGCCAATATTTAGAATTTGGATTGTCCCTATCAGTTAAACAACAACTAGATAATTGTTTAATTTTCTTGAGAACAATGTAATTTCATGACTATAATACATATGCCTCCAGCTGGTAATGTATTCTTATTCATCTTTCGTTGGTTCAAATTGCAGAAATTTTCACAATGATACATAGGAGACCAAAAATATGGTGACATTCATAAAGCAATGAATGGTAATTCATAATGTATACATTCAAACATTCATGAACTGCTAAACTTGAAATAATGAATTTTGATATTGTACTCCTACAAACATTGAAAAGTGTCTTAATAATCTTTGCTGCCTTCTTTGTCCCTTGTGACAAATGGAAAGCACTAAATATGTTTTAACAAAATAAAATATTACTAGCTTATTCCAGCTCTGAACACCTTGACCCAATTTCACATAAGAAAAGACAAGTATGTTTTATATGTTCTACAACAAGCCCAGGAGCTAACACAAAATGTTTCACTTAAGGTTTACAGAGTATTGATACAATATCAATTGACATTTCAAATATGCGTGGGCTTATTACCAGGCATGGGCTTATTGAAAGATATTGTTTTTTAAGAGGATATGAGCCATCATTACATTTTTTGACAATTTCCACTATACTTATGTGTAAATACTATTCTTTCGCTAATCTGTTCTGACAAAAGATTTTTATCATAAAGATTCAAGGGAGAGGGATCTATACCATACATGTCTGTTACAATAACTGTCTGTCTTTTTACAACAAACAGAAAGCCTGAGGAAAGGGAAAAAACAAGCCTCACGGAACAGAATATGTAGGAGGGGAGGAAACTGTAAGGGAAAAATATGTACAGTATTCAACAACAGCATGCTGTGTCAGGGCAAACCATCCTCCATGTAAATAATTAACTAGGCTCTTACATTCATAGGATAACTGCCCTCATTCCAGCACCTCCATATTCCTTCTCCACCATGGACCTTAATTAAGTTCCTATTTCACTCCTTATTAAGTTTCTTACAGTATTCCCGACCTACAGATCCAATCCATCGTACTTGTACCCAAACTCTACACACTAAAACTGACATACAATTTCTTAACTCAAATAGCATATTCCCACCCTTATCATTTGGTGTCATGAACTTCAAAATAAAAATATGTTTCTTGTTTTGCAATATTTGTAATAATGTAATTTGACCAAAGCATTTGTTGTGAATAATTAGAAATGGCTTAGATTTTGTTGTATGTGTGTGTTTTTTCTTCAATGCTTTATAAGCAGATCATCGCCTTGGATAATGGGACACACTAAGACATGATAATGCATCATTTTTGACAGGTTTTAGCTAATTATTGTAATTAGTGATACTTTTTCACCTGTATATTTCACCTGTGCAAGTGTTCAATCAACTGGAAACTTAGTCATCTGAACACATTGTTTCTGTAAAAATATTTAAAGGTGAAACTTGGTTGTAATGTCTCCAACACAAACTTGTTACTGCGTACGTACATATTTTAGCGATATTCTTGTCTTAGCGTCATTCCTGCTAAAAATACAGTGCTGAAAAAAGATAGCGCTAATCATGATTTCTATATCCTCCTTAATGCAACTATTCCAAAGGGCAAATTTATCATTGCGCTTACTAGTTCAAAATTGATATCCGCTAAATTTTGAATGCGCCAAAATAAGTACGTTTTCAGTATTATGTCACCATTGTACTTTGGTTTAATAAAATCTTGTTATATTGCCAATATCTCCCGACAAATTTTTTGGATTGAAGTTTTAAAGGCATTCGGCAATACTTCTGTGTGATTCTTTTACCTGTAAAATTGTTGCCATAAAAACCAACCAAACAAAAAGACTTCATTAAAGAAATAACTCCTACAATGACTTTTCAAATTTTTTTCTTTTTAATTTGTTTTATGAAATTTAAATAATTCAGATACTATTGAGTCATGATTTTCTGTTAATTTTTATAAAAATAAATTTGGGAGGCTAATATGGCCAGATTATATTAAAATTTACTGATATGTGTTTAATTTGTGTTTGAAGTTTGTAATGGCTTACACAGCAGATTGGCATCCATACAAGCAAAGCTCAACAGATCACACAGAACCTACCATTGCTATATATTAAAGACACATGCAGAGAGTATCAGAGTGGTTTTGTTTTTTATTTGCTGGGTTCGCAGCAAACATATTCTAGAGGCTGACAAAAGGCAATTTAATTTTCTTTCATAAGAATCTAATCATAATTAATTTGAAGAGTTGTTTTGCTCTGAAAATAACTCCATTTTTACACATGCTATCATACAGACAGAGTGAATGTACCTGGAAGACGATTGACACAAGTCAATTACCAAATGTTGATTACATGTTCCCTAAACCAAGTGTGACCGGTGTTCACAAAGACAGGTAGGATAGGTGTTACCAAAGACATGTTCCCAAAAACATGGGAGAGAGGTGTTCAAAAAGATAGGTGAGACCAGAGACATGGGAGACAGTTGTTCCCAAAAACATGGGAGACAGGCGTTCACAAAGACAGGTGAGATAGGTGTTACCAAAGACATGGGAGATAGGTGTTCTAAAAGACAGGTGAGATAGGTGTTTCAAAGACATGGGAGACAGGTGTTCTAAAAGACATGGGAGATAGGTGTTCTAAAAGACAGGTGATACAAATGTTTTCAAAGACATGGAAGAAAGATATTCTAAAAGACAGGAGAGATAGGTGTTCCCAAAGACATGGGAGACAGGTGTTTTAAAAGACATGGGAGATAAGTATTTTCAAAGATTGTAGAAATAGATTACAGGTGTTTCAAAAGACATGGGAGATAGGTGTTCTCAAAGACATGGGAGACAGGTGTTCTCAAAGACATGGAAGATCGGTGTTCTCAAAGACATGGGAAACAGGTGTTCTAAAAGACAGGTGAGATAGGTGTTCCCACAGACATGGAAGATAGGTGTTCTTAAAGACAGGTGAGATAGGTGTTTTCAACGATTGTAGAAATAGATTACAGGTGTTTCCAAAGCAGGGGAGATAAGTGTTTTCATAGATGGTCGAGATAGATGATCTCAAAGAAAGGTGAGAAAGTTGCTTCTCCTACAGACAGATGAGATAGGTATAGTCAAAAGACAGTTGAGATAAATGGTGTCAAATATAGATGAAAAAGAAGGTCAAATGAAGGTCAAAGACATATAAGAAAGAAAATGTCAAAGACAGGTGAGACAGGTTGTATCAAAGACAAGAGAGACATGGCTGGTCAAAAACAGGTGAGACGGGTGTTCTGAAAGACAGGTGAGATAGGTTAAATTTAACTTTGTACTATTAAATAAACACCTGGGAAGCTATTGAGATGGACAGAAAATCAACATATATGGCATTTCCAGATTATATTTGGCAACAAAAAGTCAACCAGAATCTTTTACAACTAGCAATAAAAGACAGCATCGTGCTCCAGGCTTGCTAGCTGACAAGACAATACTCTCTTAAAACATGTCTTCACAAAAATTAAATTCTCAAAACCGGACAGATTTATAGTTTTATGTCTGAAAGTGTGATTAAGACAATAACAATAAATCAAAGGAATTACTTAGAATATCAGTGAGTGTATAAAATCTCTATCAGTATTAGACCGCTAAGCAGTGTGGATTTAAGTATCGTAAACCTTATACTTGTTTAAGTGTCAGAGGCTGACAGATGTCATTACCACACAGAAGACAGCAGGGACTGATAAGACATTAGATAGAACTTCCAACCTGGAATTATCTCAACTATCATTAATACAACCAGTTCACTATATTGCTGACATACACAGAGCCAGTGAGTTAAACATCTGGCTGATAAAAAAATTGTTTTCAACTCAAACAGAACTTATAAAAAGAAGTTAGACCTACAGATCAGAAAGGAAACAAAAAAAAAAAAAGACAGAAAAAACTAACCTGGTTCATATTTCTAAATTTAACATGCATGAAAAGTCTCTAGATTTTATAATTTTTTAAACTACATGTATCAAGTTCGTTATTTATATTTTTTATACAAATTGCATCTTATTCTTCCTCTCAACTAAGAGACTTGCTTCAATGTCATATAAGTGATCAGTCTCAAACAGATTGAAGTTATAAATAAAATCTCAAATTACTGAAAGTATCCAGTATTATTAGACACTAAAATTATGGCAATTGAAACAAATCTTTCTGTAAAAAAGAAATCAACAACAGTTTTATCAGAGGTAATGCTTTCTAAGACTATACAAAGCAACAACAACAAGAAACGACAGACAAATAAACAATAGTAAATTAACAAAACCTATAAGGATGAAAGAGTTGTTTCCCTTTACCTTAACCTTTTTTTTTTTCATCCACAGACAAACAAGTCTGCAACAGTTATGTCCCTTATACTGTTAATGGAGCATATTTATATATTTAAAATCGTTGATCCACTTTTGTTTGTCCTATTTTCTTTTTCAGTCTGGGACAAATTTCTTGATACCTATTTAATTTCACCTGTTACTGATATCATGGGCCATCCGCTGTATGGTTGGATCATATAAACCAAGTTTCACATGAAAATTCTAAGCTAAAAGTTCTTCATTTATTTATGATAATCAAATCATTTATGGTCCATTCAACTTGTTTACCACCAATCAAACAAATGAAATTCAGAGCTATCACAGATAAAAAGGAATTGATGGATAACATATCAATGCCTAATAGACTTTAATTTCCTCCCTGTCAGTATCTCAAAGAATACAGGCAAGAAAGAAATTCTAAGATCACTACAATGAAGATTGAAGATTTCAGGGATCAAGCAATATCACTAATGATTTAAGTAGATTTAATGGTGACATTAAGTGACAGATCTACAATCATGAATAAATGTATTAAAGTACAATACTGAATGCATGCAGTCACTTACCTTTTGAGTGATGTGATCAAAGTTGATTCCAAGTTCTGAAAATGAAAGATATTCTTGATTACAAAAAACAGACTTAATTACTCTTTTCTCTTAATTTCACATTTAATACATTTTCCCAATTATAACATAATTCAACATTGCAGGAATTTAAAATAAGTTTTTCAACAGATTCTTCAACTGGACATGTTTATTTTCAACAATATTTAAAACTAGAAAACCAATATAGTAGGTACAAAGTCTCTACAGTCCACAGGAAGCATTGTTATATGTATTACATAAAGACTGAGAATTCTTGGTATTTATTTAGCTATACAAATATGGGATCAGAGACTCAGAGTAGAGACGGGCTTATTACCAGACACGGGCTTATTTCTGGATGAATTCAGTGATGACTGACACAGATGTCAAAAATGCTGATATATCAATAGAATCTTAGATAATTAGATAAAAACTGGGACAGAATATGAACAAAAGAAAGATCTACATGGATGCCTTAAAATGTACAAGGAGAATAAGACCAGGTGTCTGAAAGAGTAAGCGTCTTCTGCTTCATCAATGACACCCGTCATGTACACTTTGATTGGCTTAAATGCCTTCAACTTCATCGACAACATTCAGAATGTAAATCTTGGTCCATCAGAGTTAGTAATGTCATGTTCCCAAATGAGAACAAGGTAAACAATAACAAACCTCATATTGCACAAGGAAATAGAATAAATATTTTAAATAGCTAAAGTATGTATAAACTCTGTCCATTGATAATCTTTGTCTGAACACATAGTGCAGTTACAAAACCTTATTTGTTCCACATATTTATTTCTGATAAAACTAAAACACTGCAGTTGTATAAAAAAAGATCTAAGGATATTTTTTCAATTAGAAAGAAATTTAAACAACAGGAAAATCACAAAGTTTTATGGACAAGTTGAAAAGTCAAAATAGAAAAGAATGGGAGACTAAATTGGAAAGGTGATAAAAATATAATATTTATAAGATGTTGGTTGTTAATTTCATTTTTCTTTCAAATTAGATAAATTCATGATCTAATGCCAATACCAACACTATATGTACATTAGTAAACCATAAATCTTCTCGAAGGTATTCCTTTTTTCTATAGGTATTTGGAACAAGTTCCAAATTTGTATCATTTGAGCTAAATTAACACATTAAAAAAAAACTTTCAAGAGAGGGAATAGACTTCAGTTTGTATGATTTGAGGTAGATTAAAACTAGCTGCTACTTAAAATATTATATAACAGATCTTTTTTACCTAAATTTTGCTATTGCAACTGATAATCTAATGATTGGGAATGCCGACAAAACACCACTTACTTTCGATCTCCCCTCAGACAATACTATAGCCCAGACCAATAGTAGGACTGTGTCCATTCGAACGACGGGAAACGAAAAAAATAGATTCACAGTAATGCTAGCGTGTATGGCCGATGGCACTAAACTTCCGCCTTACGTCAATTTTAAGAGAAATACCCTACCCACTGGAAACTTCCCAAAAGGAATTGATTGTACGCGTCCATGAAAAAGGATGGGTGAACGAAATGACAAAGAAAGAGTGGCTGCAGATCGTATGGTGGAAGAGACCAAACACTCCCCAGAAGAACCTTCTAGTCCTAGACTCATTCTGGTGTCACCGAGCCCCCTACATGAAAGAAATGCTGTCCGACTACAACACACAACTCGTCATCATACCCGAAGGAATGACCAGCATCCTTCAACCCCTCAATGTAGGAGTGAATAAACCCATGAAGGTCTCCCTGCGCACTGCCTGGAACGAGTGGATGATGGACGATTCTAAACATACATTCACAAAAGGGGGCAAACAGAGAAAACCATAGTTGACCGACATTTGTGTGTGGATCGTCAGTGCATGGGATAACCTCGACCCCAGATTATTGTCAACTCATTTCTGAAGAGTTCCATCTCCAACCCTTTAGACGGTAGCAACAACGACATTTTGTGGACAGACGATACTGTCTTTACCCGCCGTGAAGATGACATGGAGGATGAGTGCGACATCTTCTATCACGACGATGAGAAAACTACTGAGGCGGACTTCGATCCAACAACTTTTTTCAATAGTAATGATGAGGAGGAATTTGCAGGGTTTTAGTGATTGCTTGTATAGTGATCAGGGACTGTGTTAAGTGAAAAGTAAATGATATTAACTGCTTAGTGCTCTATGGATTATTTGTTGTAAGTACCATGGTACCTATTACACCATGATTAGTTAAGTACTCTATGGATTATTTATCGTAAGTACCATGGTACCTATTACACCATGATTAGTTAAGTACTCTATGGATTATTTCTCGTAAGTACCATGGTACCTTAGTTACACTATGGATTAGTTAGTGCTCTATTATTTATCGTAAGTACCATGGTACCTATTACAATAGGATTAACTGCTTAGTGCTCTATGGATTATTTATCGTAAGTACCATGGTACCTATTACAATAGGATTAACTGCTTAGTGCTCTATGGATTATTTATCGTAAGTACCATGGTACCTATTACAATAGGATTAGTTAGTGCTCTATGGATTATTTATTGTAAGTACCATGGTACCTATTACACTATGATTAGTTTAGTGCTCTATGGATTATTTATCGTAAGTACCATGGTACCTATTACAATAGGATTAACTGCTTAGTGCTCTATGGATTATTTATTGTAAGTACCATGGTACCTATTACAATAGGATTAACTGCTTAGTGCTCTATGGATTATTTATTGTAAGTACCATGGTACCTATTACACTATGATTAGTTTAGTGCTCTATGGATTATTTATTGTAAGTACCATGGTACCTATTACACTATGATTAGTTTAGTGCTCTATGGATTATTTATTGTAAGTACCATGGTACCTATTACACTATGATTAGTTTAGTGCTCTATGGATTATTTATTGTAAGTACCATGGTACCTATTACAATAGGATTAGTTAGTGCTCTATGGATTATTTATTGTAAGTACCATGGTACCTATTACAATAGGATTAGTTAGTGCTCTATGGATTATTTATTGTAAGTACCATGGTACCTATTACAATAGGATTAGTTAGTGCTCTATGGATTATTTATTGTAAGTACCATGGTACCTATTACACTATGATTAGTTTAGTGCTTATGTTATTTATCGTAAGTACCATGGTACCTATTACACTATGATTAGTTTAGTGCTCTATGGATTATTTATTGTAAGTACCATGGTACCTATTACAATAGGATTAGTTAGTGCTCTATGGATTATTTATCGTAAGTACCATGGTACCTATTACAATAGGATTAACTGCTTAGTGCTCTATGGATTATTTATTGTAAGTACCATGGTACCTATTACAATAGGATTAGTTAGTGCTCTATGGATTATTTATTGTAAGTACCATGGTACCTATTACACTATGATTAGTTTAGTGCTCTATGGATTATTTATTGTAAGTACCATGGTACCTATTACACTATGATTAGTTTAGTGCTCTATGGATTATTTATTGTAAGTACCATGGTACCTATTACAATAGGATTAGTTAGTGCTCTATGGATTATTTATTGTAAGTACCATGGTACCTATTACAATAGGATTAGTTAGTGCTCTATGGATTATTTATTGTAAGTACCATGGTACCTATTACACTATGATTAGTTTAGTGCTCTATGGATTATCTATCGTAAGTACCATGGTACCTATTACACTATGATTAGTTTAGTGCTCTATGGATTATTTATTGTAAGTACCATGGTACCTATTACACCATGATTAGTTTAGTGCTCCATGGATTATTTATTGTAAGTACCATGGTACCTATTACACTATGATTAGTTTAGTGCTCTATGGATTATTTATCGTAAGTACCATGGTACCTATTACAATAGGATTAACTGCTTAGTGCTCTATGGATTATTTATTGTAAGTACCATGGTACCTATTACAATAGGATTAGTTAGTGCTCTATGGATTATTTATCGTAAGTACCATGGTACCTATTACAATAGGATTAGTTAGTGCTCCATGGATTATTTATCGTAAGTACCATGGTAACTATTACAATAGGATTAGTTAGTGCTCTATGGATTATTTATTGTAAGTACCATGGTACCTATTACACTATGATTAGTTTAGTGCTCTATGGATTATTTATTGTAAGTACCATGGTACCTATTACACTATGATTAGTTTAGTGCTATTGTAAACTTGTGATTTATGATGACATTATTTTTATATAGATGATAATATATAACTCAATTGTATTAAAACATTCGAAATTTATTTTATTTGTTTGTTGTTTTTATCTCCATACTATCATATATGACCGAAGACTCTTAAATATAACTATGTGAAGGCAGTTAATCCAATATGGCAGACGCAGAACTCGGGAATGATAACCCCAAGAATGGCATGTTCCTGCATATAGTGCGCACCCCCTTTTTGACACGACAGTTTTAGCTTAAAAAAAATGCATTATACGTGGAAATTTATGGTATTTGTGATCCAAGTATTTGTGATTCTGTGACTGATCATGGCAAAACGATGCAGAGGTTAAGTCAGTTTACTTGAGAACAGAACTGCTGTCATGGTTTATTGGGCTTCTTTTCCCATACTTATAAATCCGATATTATTGGCACTACATGCAGGTCCATTGTACAAAAGGACATAAATCTGTGTCTGACAATATTTTGCATTTTTAAAGTTTGCTTTCCTAATTTGTCATATTTATGGCAGAACTTAGATGTACACAAAAAATTCTGTTATACAATAGACTTTTTTAAAATAAAAAATAGTATTATTTGACTCACGTATTTAAAACTTGTTATGACCGAGAATAGACTTTGTATTATATGTATGTAAGCCAGATAAACATTAAAACTAACCTTCCATTAGAGGTGGTTCATCTTCAAAGTTATCCCCTCCGCCATTACTGGCTGGTCCAGAGTAGGTATTGGGTACCTCAGGAGTCATGATGGATCCTGTGTACACGTTCTGAGGGGCGGAGTAGGTCTGATCTCCTGCATACCCCTGCGAATAGTCGAATTGTCCAAATTGTCTGGAAAAAAATACGAAATATAGAATTTAAAAAAGTTGTAGACTTTCAATTTAAGAATGTAATTTATTAAATAAAACTTTGTAAAATCTGTAAATATTTCATAGTCTATTCAAGTATGTTTCAAATAAACATGTGTATCTATCTGGGAAAGATATCTTTAAACCAATGCATTAGAATCAAGAATTCGTCATCAAAACCAACAAATTAAAAACAAAGAACAAAATAACAATGAAACCAAGATTTATATGAAGAGAGAGACTTCTGAAAAAGTACACAGAGAACAAGACCATACAAGAGGCCCATGGGCCTTAACGGTCATCTGACAAAAAGCAAGCCAAACCTAGAAAGTGGGTTGAGGTCATTCATTTGAACAAACTTGGTAGCCTCTCCTCCAAGCATCTTACAGGCCCAATATCAGCACTCATGGACTTTTGCTTGTTGAGAAGAAGTCGTTTGTATATTTTAACATATTTGACCCCTGTGACCTTGAAAGTGGGTCGAGGTCATTCATTTGAATAAACTTGGTAGCCTTTCCTCCCAGCATACTACAGACCCAATATCGGCACTCATAGACTTTTGCTTATTGAGATGAAGTCCTTTGTATATTTTAACATATTTGACCCCTGTGACCTTGAAAGTGGGCCAAGGTCATTCATTTGAACAAACTTTGTAGGGCTCCATGCCAGCATGCTATGGGCCAAGTATTAGCCCCCTAGGCCTTCTAGTATTTGAGAAGAAGTTATTTAAAGATTTTAACATATTTGACCCCTGTGACCTTGAAAGTGGGCCAAGGTCATTCATTTGAACAAACTTTGTAGGGCTCCATGCCAGCATGCTATGGGCCAAGTATTAGCCCCCTAGGCCTTCTAGTATTTGAGAAGAAGTTATTTAAAGATTTTAACATATTTGACCCCTGTGACCTTGAACAACTCATTTGAACAAACTTGATAGCCCTTCATCCCAGCATGCCACAGGCACAATATCAGCAATCTGAGCCTTTTGGTTATTGAGGAGAAGTCGTTTAAAGATTTAAACATATTTGGCCCCTGTGACCTTGAACGTGGGTCAAGGTCATTCACTTGAACAAACTTAGTAGCACTTCATCCCAGCATGTCACAGGCCCAATATCTTCACTCTGAGCCTTTTGGTTAATGAGAAGAAGATGTTTAAAGATTTTAACATATTTGACCCCTGTGACCTTTAAAGTGGGTCAAGGTCATTCATTTGAATAAACTTGGTAGAGCTCCATGCCAGTATCCTCTGTGCCAAGTATTAGCCCCCTAGACCTTCTAGTATTTGAGAAGAAGTTGTTTGAATGAAAAGTTTACGCATGGCGGACGGCGCACAGCGGACGACGACGGAGGAAGCACGATGGCTATAGGTCATCTTGACCCTTTGGGTCAGATGACCTAAAAATCTAGCTTTGATAGATTTTGACCATGATTTTTCACAATTACATGTTTTACTCCATGAGGAAACAATTATGGCTTCATGTACAGAGTATTTTTTCAATTTCCCAAGGCTAACTGAAGTGAACTACAGAGACTTAAGATATGTTTCAGAATCATCCTCTACTATATGCCTGGATGAAAAATCCTTTTAAATGCTGAAATGTAAACTAAAAACTTTTATATTTAATGTTATTCAAGTACACATGCTAACTGTAAACATTTCAATTATGATTAACTTATAACCGTGAAGGAAAACTGTTACAGTAATGTATATTGTCCATGGAGTTATCGGGTATGATAACAATAGGTTATTTTAATACGTCATAACAGAGAACTACCCGAAAATTTAGTACTTCAGGGGTAAAGTGTGTACCCGAAATTGTCCTGATGAAGCCCAATCGGGGGCGAAACCGGTCGACAAATAAAATAGACACGGAAAATAACCAACTTGTCCCTAGTTTGTTGCGATTGATGATACCCTTTTAAAGTAAAATCTTTATTTGACTTTAAAAATATACATGAAAATTAAAAGGAAAACAAGATATCCCAGAGGGGTCCTGGCACCCATCATTGTTTGATCTTTATATGCTCTTTGATGGTGGGATCTTTTCCCTTCTTTTCTCTTCTCTTGATGAGACATCTGAACATTCCTTTGCAGAGATAGCAATGATAATCTTTACCTGTCAAATCCAAAATGGCCACCTTTCCACCATTTTGTTTTTCTGATCAGACTCAAAATCAAATCGACACAACTAGGGACCAAGGGGAACCTACATATGAAATTTAGGAAAGATCCATCCAGTATTTCTCAAGAAATAGCCATAATAAACTTTCAAAGTCAAAATCCAAGATGGCCGCCTTTTGGCCAATTTATTATTCTGGTTAGTCCCAAAATTCCATGGCCATAACTTGAGACAAAGGATAACTTACATATGAAATTTGAGAGATATCCATATATAACTTTTCAGGAAATAGCAATAACAAACTTCATTGAAAAAATCCAAGATTCTGTTGGCCATTTTGTTTTTTTTTATCAGTCCCAAAATCAAACAGGCACATTTAGGGACCAAGGGGAACCTACATATGCAACTTCAGGAGGATCCATCCAGTTCTTCTCAAGAAATAGCAATAACAAAAACTGTTTATGGACAGACGGACGGACGATATACCACAAACGCAGAGAGATCTGATAATGCAAAGCATGATATTATCCCCACCGCGCCCCACTGCTTAAAAGAAAGACACACAATCATATATATGTTAAAATTACAAAAAGTTTGAAAGTTATTTTTAATTGTTCCTTACAAAGTATTGAAATGGAGAACTTCTACTAAAGTGCAAGATTGATGCCTGTACAAAGTTTAGAGTAAAGGGTAATTACCTTGAACGGTTAAGAGAACTGGTATGAAAAAATTGAACTTTGTGATTTAGCCTATCATAGTAACAGAAGAAGTATTTAAATGGAGAACTTCCCCATAGCAAGAGATACTACTTGCTTAATAAGTGTAAAACGTTTTGAGCAATTATCTTGAATAATTTCAGAGCAATGTTCCAGAAAAACTGAAATTTGTGATAAGTGTTATCTGTTTTAATGGTAACAGAAAAAAAAATAAGTAATGCACCCAACCTAATATATACAGAAAGTTTTGTGGAGTTGAATGGAATTGTTTCAAAGTTTTAGCCTGGAAAAGAAAGTTAAAACCAATGTCATGTTTTTTTTACAATGTTTCCATGGTAACAGAAAAAATATAAAAATTAAATGTCTTCAATAGCAAAAGGCACAATCAGGGCACTAACCTTATATCAAGAGAAAGTTTGTGAAGTTGAATGGAATGATTTCTAAGTTGTAGCCCAGAAAGGAAAGTTAACACTAATTTTGTGGGTTTTTATTACTATATTTCCATGGTAACAAATAAATCATTAAAAATAAAATGTTGAAAATAGCAAAAGGCACAACTAGGGCACTAACTTAATATACACAGAAAGTTTTGTGGAGCTGAACAGTTTTGAATTTATGGCTTGGAAAATCCTCAAATGGAGGGATGGAGGCACCCATGCATGGATGGAGCCCAAATTCAGAAATTTCAGAAACAAAATGATCAATTGGGAAGCGAAATTTTAGGAGTAAACTAAATATATTCAGAATTAGGCCATATTATGAAATGAATCCAATTGGGAATGGGGCCAATATTCTGCCATACAGAGCCTCTGAAAAAAGGCCTCAAATAAAATATTGTAAATATGACCAAAGCCTCTTAATAGTACTATACATGTACCAATACTTACGGATCTTGTCCAAAACCTTGTGCCGAGGCACTATTCATGTCATAACCTTGATTGGCTGTGTCATAGTTTCCGCTATAAAACCCCTCCTGGCCAAATTCCTGTGACATGGTTCCTAAAACACAAAAAGCATATAAAATGATGAAAGTAGTGTGAAATCATTTGACACAGTGAAAATGAAGAACTGTAATAAGAGGTAGACCATATCAGTTAAAGAAGGCCATAATATAGGTATCCAGACAAAGAGGAGGAATGGAAAAGATTTGAACACAACACACTTCCTAATGAAGTAGAACAGCCTCTAAATCTTATCGTAATTCTGTGAAACTGTAAGTAATAATGATAGAAAAGAAGTGCTTCCATTAGCAAACTGCCAACCAAGATGTCAAGACAAAGATCACAAAGGTATTTAGTACTAAAGTGATATCTCCAATTGAAAGTTGGCACCAAGGTTGAAGGCACTTGTGCTCATGTTGTAAAATGTATCTGTCTCCTGGTTTCTGTTTGTAATACATTTTCAACAGTGACATAAAAGGATTAATTCAAACAAAATCTTATGCCTTCAGATTTTGCAATGATAGTATACACTGCTGTAATATTATCTGGAAATTGGTCAGAAAAAAAACCCACTAAAAATCAGAGCAGGCTTAAAGACAGTATGGATTCTTGTATTTCAGGAGTAGACTGTTTGAGTCATTTCAGGTCATATCTCATTATAACAGATAGAAATGTGAAAAATTTAAATATCAATGTAAAAGGAATGGGTCAGTGTGACTTGTACATGTTTATACAATCTCTGTCAATAAGCTGACACAGCATTCTTCTTTAACTCAGTTGGTTGAGTTGTTTGATTATTACACCAGGGACCCGGGTTCGATTACTGGTTGGGGCACTTGACAGTAATGTGTTTTCCTTGTTTTGTCATATCAGCAAAACAAGAGTGCTGTGGACACAATATACGTCGCCACAAAATACAAAGATCAAGATGAAATGGCATAAATCTTACAAAAATCAAAGAACCGTAAAATTGCCCCTTCATGCACATCGAACCATTGTAGTAGTGACATAGAGCAAGTTTTATGAAAATCTTATCATTAGTTTAGTAGGAGTTGCGTTCACAAAGCTCCACTAAGATCAAGCTACAGATACAAAGTTGAAAATGGCATAAATCTTACAAAAATCAAAGTACCGAAAAATCGCCCCTTCATGCACATCTACCCATTGTAGTAGTGACATTGAGCAAGTTTCATTAAAAATCTGATGATTAGTTTAGGAGGAGTTGCGTTCCCAAGAAATGGATGTACGGACGGACAGACTGAGAAGGCGATGCCAATATACGACCGCCTCCGGATTTTGTGCAAATAAAACTGTCATCAATTAAAAGTCCTTTATTCCTCCAAGTACCCAACATATAATGCCAACCAATATTATGACATAACATACACACAAAATGTCAACATCACAATACTTGAGCGATTGATCACTTACTGCAGCATGCCAAAGTACTACCAGATACCCAAAATTCCTTTGTGTTTTAATTTCCTTGACACATTCATCAACAGAATTCATTTCGTAGTGGTATATAAACTATCTAATTCATATACGTACATAATGCAGCTTAAACAACTCAACATCAAAATCCAGCATTTCAGTGAATGGGTAGGAACGTGTTGAAATGTGTGACACTGATGTTATAGAAACAAGCTAAAAAATAAAAAACAGTTAAAGTGTCTATAGTTTCTACACCTGTATACCTGACTTCTAAAATGCCTTACTGATAAGAAAGCCATGAAAAAAACTTACGTTTTGTGTGAAAACAACTCAACATCAAAATCCAGCATTTCAGTGAATGGGTAGGAACGTGTTGAAATATGTGACACTGATGTTATAGAAACAAGCTAACGAGTTAAAGTGTCTATAGTTTCTGTCGATTCTAAGACTGATAAGAAAGCCATGAAAACGTTTTGTGTGAATTCTCGAATTAATTTGGGGAGCGGGGGGGGGGGGAGAGTTCTTCGGTGTCAGTAGAATATCTGTTCTAAGATTGCGCTGGCTGTGTTCTATCCATTTCTAATGTTTTTTCTATTGCTATTTGACATAATGTTAAAACTGTAAAACGCCTTGCTTAGTTGAATACCAAAAGAAAAAGAAAATCACCTTTTACGAGATTTTCGCTTTAGTCCAAACAGACGACGTGTTGTTACCGGAAGTTCCTACGAAATTCAACACAGGAGAGCTCTTCCGGTACACGGTCTTTTCCGGTAGCCAATACCCAATAGGTACGAGACGAGAATTGCATGCCCGAAAAATCAACTCCAATCAATGATAAATAAACCGTTACTTCGCATATGAGTGTATCTGATGATACGTTATGAATATTTCTTCCCGTTTCGTTTGATATTTTGTTCATGGAGACAACAGATGATCGGAATCCGTGCCCAAATTATCGGCTATTGCCTATCATGTAGCTAGCAAAATATTTATTTTCTCTTCATAAAGTATCTAAACGTATCGTTACCGAATTAAGATACAGGTATCTTTGTTCGTTTTATGTACACAAATCATTTATTAGGATTAGATCTAGGAACTGGAGAAGTCGTTAGGTCGAAATAAGGGGTCTACAAATCTAAAAATAAATATCTTGCGTATCCCAAGATTCACAACAGGTTAGAAATATTACTAGGATTAATAACATAATATGAACGCAATAACCCCGCCAGGCCTTAAAGATCATATGAAGTTTTAGTGACATTGATTGTGTCACAGTGTTTAATGAAGTTTTGGGACTATTGGGATACATGTTCTCACAATTTTTTTCAATGGTGTTCTGGCCTTGTCGAAAGAAGTCCTTCAAAAATTACCCTACATATGAGCTAAAATCATAGTATGGCAAGACATTTATACTTCCATGACTGGGATTGTGGATCATTCATGTTATGGGAGAATTTCATGGTTTTTGAGAAAGTTAATGAATTTTACTTTGTTATAGCACATGAGAAATGGATTGAGAAACTGAATGAGACAAAATCCCCAAATCTCCGTCTAGAGTTATATATCCCTGCCATGGCCTATATTAATATTTTACCATTTTTAATATATTGGGGAAAAATTGCTGGTTGCAGATTTGTTGCAATTATCTTGGCCTACCTCTGAAATATAGATCCAGTGTATGATCAAAGCTGTTTCATGCATCTTGATATTTCAAATTTGCTGACATTTTTCAGTTGTCATCAATAGATAAATATGCACATGGGGTTTCTTACTTAATTTCTCTACATTCTTAATGATCAAAATTATCTCTTAAGTTGAAGAGTGGCAATTTTGAATGTCTTCTAGATTTTTTCAGTGGTGCCATTTGTTTACATTTTCTATTGGCTTATTTCCTAGTCAGTGAAAGTTCAGTTAAAAGTTATTTCAAAATGGTTCAGTCATTGTAATTTTTGTAATGTCAAAGTAATATATGGGTTGTGTTCTATTAATTTCAGCAATCATGAAGATTGTGCAGAGTAACCAGTTGGTGAAGATCCCAGAAGGACGTAAGTACATCAGATCAATTCTTTCACCCTACAATGGTGTTTCAACATTATTGCCATTTTGCAATCCAATGCCCAGTCATGGGGAGGTCATTCACGGAATAGAATTCATTGGCAATCTGGTCACAGAATGTTTTGGGTAAACCTGTGAAGTTTTCGTGCTTAAAGTCTTATCATTTGGCTTTTCCTAGAAGTAACAGAAAGAACAACATTGACAGTTATGGCCTGCAGAGAGAATTTGAACAGCGCACAGATTGTGTTGTATCAATATGCCACTTGTTTACACCACTAATTTAAACATGTGTTCCTGCATTGGAAAGAGGTTAGGCCAATATTGTCTATAAATAATGAATGATTCCCAGCTGGCCTAGCTTCAAAAGATCAATGAAACATAAAAATGTAATATGTTTAAATATTCTTCTTTTTCTTGAACCAGTAAACCCTGATGTGTATTTTCTTTATTTCAGTTTCCGGGTCAGTTAAAGCCCGCAAAGTTACAATCAAGGGACCCAGGGGCACGCTCACACGCAGCTTTCGTCATTTGGCTGTTGACATCAGTATGATCAGTAAAAACACCATTAAAGTTGAGAAGTGGTTTGGCAAACACAAGGAATTGGCTGCCGTCAGGACCGTCTGCAGCCATATTGAAAACATGATGAAAGGTGTTACTAAGGTTAGATCCCAGAAAAAACAATTAATCTATTTAACCTGTCGTCTACATTCTTAGTGTTGTGCAAAGACATTAAGAATGAACTGTTAAATTGATGTGATGATGAGACAGTAATGAGTTGACCATTGAACTGTAGTTATAGGTCGCTTGCCTGATCAGTTTGACCAGATTTTAGACTAAGTGGAATCCACTCTCCTAGGATTGTGATATAAAGTATTATCTTCTGATCAATGTACATATGGAAGATGACCAATGCAACTTGTTTTCTCTTATCGCCATGTGGTTGCACAAATTTTCACCTTGAAAATAAGTTTCATAATGAAGGTGACGTATAGTTAATAGTCCCACCTGAATTTTCAGACTCAACATTTGTTGTTAACAAGTTATCTTGGTACATGTAGTGTTAAATTTCTTATTCAGGCAAAAGCCTATGTTAAGAGAGGGGTGGGGGGCATCCTGTTCTTGCATCTAACCAAAAATATTCTATGCTTTGAAAAGAATATGATCCATGGATCTGTCATTTCAGGGTTACCTGTACAAAATGAGATCCGTATATGCTCATTTCCCAATCAACATTGCCATCCTTGAAGGTGGAACTGCTGTGGAGGTGAGGAACTTTCTTGGTGAGAAGTACACTCGTAGAGTCAACATGTTGCCAGGTGTGACATTCTCCACCTCTCCTACCATGAAGGATGAGTTCTTCATCCAGGGAAATGACATTGAACTTGTGTCACGATCAGGTTTGTGGTTTATAACAGATTCAAACTTGCTCAAACTTGCAGCAATAGATTTGTTAAAGTAAAAAATTTAAGGATGTGTAAAATTCATTGTTCCTCTTTCTGGAAAACATATTTTAAACTCGAGACATTTTGTAGACAAATTGTTGTATATGATGTGAAGTAATTTACACAGAAATGGTATGTAGGGAGATGTGTGGTACTGTAAAATCCTATATTTTTGTGTGTCTAACTTTTTTATAGAAATACTGTTTTGATTTCTGTGGCACTTGGTTTTTTTACTAAGCATACTTAATAGGTTTATTAACATTATATTTACAGTTCATGGATGTATAAATTTGTGGGTTGAGAATACCTACAAAATAAATGGAAATAAATTCTCATGAAAATTAATAATTTTGACAGTACTATTGATACTTTATCTTGAGTCAATGCCAAATTTTTTTGAGTAAATTTACTTCAGATGTTTATGAATTATGTAATGATACATTCTGGTCCAGCTCATACATAATGCTTGGAAACTAAAATGAAATGCATCATTTATTTCAATTTGATCAGTGTAATACAGAAAGAAATTGATAAGTGTTCTTTTTCACTGTTATTAAAAAAACAGAGAACTCATTTTATGCTGTAATACTAACCAATTAAAGAGCTCTATACAAAAATACAACAAAATAAACTTCAGTGTAATGGATAGAATTTGTAACAATATTTTCTGGCATAACAAATATGTTTCACTCGTGTTGCTACTAATGTTGGTTTCTTTGTGATGTATACCTGTTACCGCTGAAGACGCTGTTATACATCCTCTATTGGAACAATATTTTGTAATTATTACTTTTCTACTCTTCCACTTTACCATCAATCTTTGAAAAGTCCTCAGGTTATCACAGAAACGTGGTTAAATCCTAATCTGTTTTATTTTGTCCAATTGCTCACTTTATGATGTAACATTATTGATGTTTTCAGCTGCACTGGTTCAACAGTCCACTACAGTTAAAAACAAGGACATCAGGAAGTTCTTGGATGGGATCTACGTTTCTGAGAAGACAAATGTTGTGACAGAATAAAGGGACTGTACAGATCGCTAAATTAAAAAAAAAGAAAAAACACTCAACGTTTTATTTCTTTTATTACTTCAGTAAATCTTTAAGCTTTGAAGAAGAAAAGTTGTACCCCATATTGTGTCATAAGAAACAAAAAATTGGGATGCTTACTGCAGGAATAGTTTCTAGGGTGTTCGGAGACATTTTCCTACAGCATTACCATATCATCCTCCACTTTTATTTTGTATGAAATGATATTACCTCCCTTTGTTATGAATTTTTTCACAGGTGGATCTATCAGGGGGGGCCAGATTTAACTCTTGGAACTTTCTTCCTAAGTTAACCGAGAGATTTGGTGACCATTCTCCTTGACCACTTATGTGGTTTATTCTAAGTGGAGTGGCTAAATCACTGGAAGGAGTGACATAGTCCCATGGGTACTTACCTTAGAGGAGGGAGGTGGGGTTACACCTTAAAGTTATTTCATTCAGTTCTTTGAAATATTGTTACTTCTATGGTGGTTAATTTTTATGATTTCAAAAGTCATGTGAGGGGTGAAATTTATGAGGCCAAATGACTGCATATTTACGGTAATGTAAATTTCCTTGGCATGTAGATTTCTACATTTACAGTACATACACATTGAAATGGTGTGACTCACCACTTTGCCATCTGTTGTATCAATGATACCATTACATTTTGTTGGTTTGTATATAAAGCAATCTTCATTAGGAAAGAAATTCTGCCCTTACATTGACTATTAACTTCATTTTGTCATTGTGACCTTGACCTGACATGCTTCACAGTCGTGCATTACATGTCACCTTGTCAACCTTTAGAATGTCTTATTTTGCTTTTATTAATGGTATCTAAAACTGCCGGGGTACTTCTGCCCCTCGTTGCTCGATTGCTCTTCGTCATCAAATGGTTGCCAACTATCCTTTTGTGTTTCAACCCTGAACTACAACATCCTCCAGTGGGTGAGTCGATGGTGGTGCCATATCCAGCATGATCTTCTTTCTGGAGCTTCACCCAGCATTTGCAAGGCTGCTGATTTCATCAATCAAAGTTGTTGCAAAGGCTTGCTCATTGATTGAGCTGGAAAACCTCTGCAGCCAACCTTAAAGGATCAATACTCGGACTGGAGTGAGGTGTCTTCGGGAGTTCCCCAGGGATCTGTTCTTGGACCTACAATGTTCATCATATTTATTAATGACTTGCCAGAAACAATACAATCTGAAGCATATCTTTTCGCAGATGATACTAAATTGTTCAGAAGCATAAAAGAAAATAACGATGTGAATATACTTCAAGATGATCTGGATTGCCTTTCAGCTTGGAGTGAAAAATGGTTATTGAACTTTCATCCTCAAAAATGTAAATTTTTGTGCATTGGCAGGCAAAGTGGAGACAGAAAATATTATTTAAACAACGAAGAATTACAGAAAGTCTACCAAGAAAAAGATAAAGGAGTAATTGTAGACAATTCTTTATCATTTGATGAACACATAAGTACACAGGTAAAAAAGCAAACTATGTTTGCACTCATAAGGAGAACGTTTCAATTTCTCAATGAACATAACTTCCCATTATTGTACAAAACAATAGTTAGGGTCCATCTGGAACATTTTATTGGTGTATGGCATCCATATAAAGTCAAACATATAGATATAATCGAGGCAGTGCAACGGAGAGCAACAAAACAATTATCAGGATTTAAGGTTTAAGGACTTATTCGGAAAGACTGAAATGCCTAAAATTACCAACATTGGCATTCAGGAGGATCCGTGGGGATATGATTGAAGTCTTCAAAATTACCAACGCTTTTTGTGATAGTAACGCTGTTGGTTTCCTTAAATTGTGGATTGACAAAGTTCAAATTCAGCGAACAAGGGGTCACTCCAAAAAACTTTACATGCAGCACTGTAAACTTGACATCAGGAAACATTCTTTTTCTTTGCGTGTGGTCAAAATATGGAACAATCTTCCTGAGTATATTGTATCGGCACCAACAGTTAACTCTTTCAGAAATAGATGAGATGAACGCAAATCAAGAACTGGTATATAATGATAAAGCAGAAATTCTGTAGTTCCTGGATCTGACGTCTCAAATGACAATATTTATAAACATTATCATTGTATCACAGACCGGTATAGAGGATCTTAACAATCCTGCACTGGTAATAAACTAAACTTCATTGGAAACAGCCGTACAATTGATCCCTGGGTCCCTTCAGTCGGCTACTAGGTCAGCTTACTCTTTTTATGGTGTTTCCTCGAAATTCTCCCATGGCACTGTCAGCTCCACTATGCTGAGTGATTTTGTTTTGTCGGGCCAGAGTGTTTTGTCCACCATGCATGGAAATACAAGTCTCGCGTTAAGGTCCACATGAAACGCTTAATCCTTTGCTGTGTACATCAGCGATGCTCTGGCTTGTCTTCTTCAGCTTCACAAAAAACTGATCTTTTCCTGCTTTTGCCTTTGGCTGCTTCTTGCTCTTGTCTGTCTCCAGAACTTTTGCCAACTCACACAGGACTTTGTCATGCTCCCACCTATACCATTGCGGTGTCAATAACACCTGACATCCTCGCAGTATGTAACCCCCAGTAACAGTTTCATTGACAATTCTTGTGTTCCAGACAACAAATTTGACCTTTATATGACCTCAGCTTTTGACTTGCATTCTTAAATATAATATACATCACACTGTGCCATCCTATAAAGATTCATTCATCCTCCTTCACTAATAGAGAAGTCAGACATAGGGATCATCCTGCACATTCATCTGGTTATGAAAACCAAGAGTATACCTTGGGTTACCATCCTACATATATTCATGACATCAAAGTTTTTCATCAAAATTTGTGGCTTCGGCAATGGATTTGACCTTTTTGCCTATGTTGACTTTGAACTTGAACTTAGGGGTGTGAAAATAGTACACAACACATTGCTTCACCATGACATTTCGGTATCTTCAATTCAAATTTATTGTGGCAGACAATATGCCCAACCAGGTATCAAATAGTCACAGAAATCTTTCACAAAGCAAAGAAATGATCGACAAAAATATCAAAATTTGATTATTTTATTTCAACTCACTCTTCAAATAGAAGGATTTCATGTAAAATAATACTGAAGCCTTCACCATACATGTAACATGTTTCCTAGTTACTTAGTGGAAGATCGAGAAACCGGAGCACAGTAATATTGAATATTTTTTAGAGCGTAATGTTTCGTCACATTTTATTTCTTTTAAATATTATTCCTTCTCTTAAGAAAATTATCATACTGCTATGCCAGAGACTAAAATTTTGATATTATTTTTCAAATTCATCAGACTATTTCAGTGCTCAGACTCGTGTGAATGAAACAGATTTGTAGCAATAAATTACACAGAATTAAATAAAATAACCACTTTAATATGTACATTAGCATTTCTGCAGACCCAAATAACCTCCCACACTCCCTCTCCTCTTTCAAGAAAAATTTTAATTTTGCATTTTGAGCACTGAAGACCTGATCAATGATCCCTGTTATGCAATTACATGGACATCAGATCAACATAATATTTAACAAGCATAATTTACGTAACATGCATACAGAACTGCACTTTTATGTTAACTTTACATGGAGACTTTTTTGTATGCATTCTATGTAAAATATCAAAACAAACCTTTACCATATGAATACATAGTTACAAGTGAAATCTGTCATGAAATGCTATAGAGTACTGATGTCTACTATGGTTAAATACATACACTATATGTACAGTGTACTTGTAAACTGTCATTTTAAGAATTTAGCTACACAATTCGTGTGTAGCATTTGTTGGAAAATGAAACAAAAACGAAACAACCCCCATTCAAAAATCATTATTTGTACTCTACAATTTTCCCTCCTTTTCTTATCATAAGCATTTCACCAATACATATAGATGCAATTTTTAAACAATTTTGAATTTATTTACAGAAAAATTTCCAATATCAAGAAACATTGAAATACCCTTATTAATGCCTTTCTGACTATATTACCAATTGAACATGATATATGCACCCACTATTTACATCTGTTAAGGATGACAATTTGAAAACAGTTTTCAACATTTCTGTTTTTCTTTCATTAGGAGAGATATATATAATAAAAAACAATACAAATAATTAACTTAGCATTTGCATGAGATTATCACATGCACACCTTCACCTGTTGTACTAAGAATATTTATACACATGTACCTTATTTGGACAGAAAAAATAATCATTTATATTCCACTACACTACACTTCCACTACTGGAACTTTCAAATTTGTTTTGGGGAAAATAATTTTGTACAAAGACATCATCACACACTGAGCATCAATACAATAAAGCTGTTGTAAATCTCAAACATATTGTGTTCATGTCTCCAACTAGCTCCTGGCAAGAAACTTTCTAACATAATCAAAATTCTACAGCTCCTGTGGCCAAATTCTCTTTGTTTCTTATGATTATGTCTTTTTTAAAAACTAGATGTTCAGCAAACTGGGATTTGAGCATGAAGCATTGCAATAATGTCAGTTTTCAAAAATCCTCTAGAATGTTTTAAAATGTCCTTTCAAGATCAAGATCCTTAAATGATTTCATCCCATTTTTCTTTTAATTGGTATGCAAAAAACAACAAATAATCCCCAAATTTGGTATATTTCCACAGGATGCAAATTACCTGAAAATATTTTACACTTGGTATGCAAATTACCTCAAAATATTTTACACTTGGTATGCAAATTACCTCAAAATATTTTGGTATGCAAATTACCTCAAAATATTTTACACTTGGTATGCAAATTACCTCAAAATATTTTACACTTGGTATGCAAATTACCTCAAAATATTTTGGTATGCAAATTACCTCAAAATATTTTACACTTGGTATGCAAATTACCTCAAAATATTTTACACTTGGTATGCAAATTACCTCAAAATATTTTACACTTTGTATGCAAATTACCTCAAAATATTTTACAATTGGTATGCAAATTACCTCAAAATATTTTACAATTGGTATGCAAATTACCTCAAAATATTTTACAATTGGTATGCAAATTACCTCAAAATATTTTACAATTGGTATGCAAATGTTTTATTCTTAATATCCTAATGCAGTAATTGAAATAAAACAATTGATTAATACAGAGTCATATTCATACATTTTAGCATACTAAACATCCTATTTTACATATGAAAATTATATATTTTTTGTTGCATAACACTACTTAACAAGCAAAAACATTATATCAGTTAAAAACCTTTCAGTGTCTGAACTTGAAAGAAAATGCACCTCTGTATTTATTTTTTGTTTTAGAATTTGGCTTATAGTTAATTTCAAACTGTATCTCTGTTGGCACATACCATAGTTAATATAGGTTACCTCAGCACACTAGTTTACATCCAACACATAACATGTGACTTTTACATGAAACTCAAAATATGTAGAATTTGTAAAATGTTTGTTTATATACAAATTTAAAGCTTTCATCAGCATAACATACAAAACTTTGAAGATTGACACTCTGAATAAGTAAAATTTCTGTTAAAGAGCAAGGGAATATTGTAGCTATGTGTTGACTAGTTCAGGGTCATTGATGCGACTTGTTCATGGTCATTGACTGTGACTAGTTCAGGGTCATTGACTGCTCCTTTGGTCATCAACATGGACATCAGTGAGTGACCTTGACATTAGACTGATCTTGACACGGGTTGGAAACCCTTACCTCAGTGCACAAACATGACAGACACTGATCTTGACCTTAGTCAGAGACCTTGATCTCTGTATGCAAACTTGAGACACTGATCTTGACATTGGTCAGAGGTCTTGACCTTTGTGCACAAACTGACAGATACTGATCTTGACATTGGTCAGACACCTTGAACTTTGTACACGAACTTGACAGACACTGCTCTTGACCTTGACCTTTGTGCAAACTTGACAGACACTGATCGTGACAATAGTCAGAGACCTTGACATTGGTCAAACTTTTTTATATCAGTCAGTGAAACCTGATCATTGTGTTAATAAGTGGTTTAAGTCAGTAAATTTGACCAATCAGATTTGGTAACAATTGTCAAACTGTTGAACATTGGTCAGTCCATAACCTTAAGCTTACAGGACATTTTTTTGTTTTGTTTTTGTTAATCAGTTTATTAAACTTGTCAGCAATATTGATTAAAGTCAATGATATGATCTAAACTGTCAATGTGCTTAGAAGGGAATATTTAAGAATGAGATTTTGTATTTCACACTCAACTTAAACAAGTCTTCTTCATGGATTTCAAATTTATCATTTACATAAGTTTATAAGTTGTACATAACCAATCATTTGTGTAATTGTACCTATTAAGACTATTAAAACAATACGTCCTTTGGAAACGCGATTTCAGTAAAACCTCTTTATTCTGACACACTTTCTGACAGAAACAAAATGGTCAGATCAGACAGGATTTTGGAATAAATGGTATAAATTGTACCTTAGAACCAGAATTACAGTACAGTATATTTGGTTGGTAATTCATACCTAAACAGATTTTAGGGTATAATTCAATTGATCTTGAAAGTCCAAATTCAGTTTGATATATAAAAGTCAATAAATGTAAGAGTTATTCGGACCAGAAATAAGAAACATCTCTTTTTAATAATCGCTAAATTTCCAGTTTATGGAGTGTAAAACACAATTAACATCATTGTATATACAAATGTACATAAATCAATGATTAACAAAGAAAAACAGAACATCAAACAAAATGAAAAATCTATAAATGAATTTAAACTAAATTGTACTTAAATTGATCATACCAAAGCAAAAAAGCCTTTTTCTGAAAATGATAAAATGGTTGTAACGTAAAATCTACATCATTGCAATAGATATAGATTACCGGTAATGAAAAACGGAAAATGAAACAAAGTGGAAAATCTAATGATAACTTTAAACCAGATTACCAACTAAGTTATACGACAAAAATGTACTACAAGTTTATATTAAAACAGACTTTGTTCAACAAAGAAAGTACATAATCAATGGAAATGTTATGAATGAAAAAAAATAAATAGCTCCCACAAGTATGAAACAATACAATTTACTTGAGTTTAAAATCGTTAGTGCTATGTATGTGTGTGAGATATAATTAACCAACTAATGACAAAATAAAACAAGAATATGGGATACACAGCCAGGGCTTTTCTATTGGTTGGTTGGCTATCTGCCAGGAATGCTGTGGAGGCTGAAATCAATAAAAAAAACCATTACAATGCCATTACTACTAGTATACTGAAAACATTGTTCTTTTTATTGGTTCTTGATTTTGATGTCTCCATGGACAGACTATAATCTAAGTACATCTTTTTTACTTAAAGACATCAAAATTATAAATTCATACAGTACTTTATAAGCATGCAGCTAATACATTACCGAATTAAAAAAATAAAGTATATAAAAGCATTGCACAGTTTCATAGGCAGACAACATAAAGTACCAGACCATTAAATGATATTTGCCAGCAAAGTTTTGTGAATCAAAAGGATTATAAATGTCATAGCAAAGCAGTTGCCGGAAATTTTGATCTGGATGTCAGAATTTAATGGATCAATTTATAATCAGATAGGAAACTTATTCTTTGAAACTTGTTATCCAAGAGTCATTTTAGGGGTCAAGATCCTGACTAACCAAGGAACTTACCAAATGTAGACCAGGCAAACGCTACAACGACTATGATGAATCTGACAATGAATAGTGCTGTTGTTTGGCTGGCTATTAATACAATACGGCATATAATCAAAGCCACTGTCAGCGGGAACACACAGTATCCAAGAACACAGATACTCTGGAAAAATGAGCTGCAAATCAAATAAAGATAAACATTTTCATTATAAATTTATTTCCTAGAGAAATCAGGAAATATTTTCATGCATGACAATTACAATTTTTGTTTTAGAGTGTTTGAAACTGTTGATAAATGGTTTCATTACAAGGCTATTTCATGAAGCTCACATACGAAAACTAAGAGTGTGTATAGATCAGGGAGAGTGGGCAGATGGGGGGCAAAAATTAAAAATTAAAAATACATATTATGTATTCAGATACAAGTGCTTAAGATTTATTGCTTTTTGTAAAATAACGCAATGCACATGGAAGCCCAAGAGAAAATAGAAAAAACAGAGAGTGACTAAAAATCTTTTCCTCTTCTTCATCCTCCCATGTATACATGTATTTATTAACCAATTCTTCAATAAGGCCAGGAGGCCATTGAACAAATAATAGTTTAAGAAACTGAAATGTAATTGTGTACCATTTCGCAGCTCATTGACAATATGAGTAACTTAGCATCAAAAAGAAAAAGACACTCACAAGAGGAATGTATCAAACTTAAAAACAAAAGTTGAAATTCTGAAAAAACTCCATCTCAAATGAACTATAAAAGCAAATCTGATAAAATAGCAATCAATCCAATTTGTGTGGGTGAAATATCAGATAGAGGTGTATGTATGTGTATGTATGAGTATGAAGCCTCAGAGGAACTTTATCACCACAGGTAAAATTTACTTACATGTTTCCTCCTAAAAGTTTGGTATTAAGTGTAACCACCACTGCTCCAACCCAGTAGATAACGAACACCTCGGCAAATTGTGGACCTCCATCGTTCATCTTGTCTAGGTGTTCAGATGAACCCTGAAGCATCCTAGTGACAGAGATGGTATACATCAAAACAGTAAAGCTTTAAACACATGAGTGATCATGATCACATGAGAGATGACGTGTACCATGTACCTTTTGATTACAAACGTTTAAAACCCTATATAATGGATTACATGTGCACTACCTACTTAAAATTTTTAAACTTTCTATTGAAACACCTCTTTTTTGTTGACAAAATTTACATTCCTATATCAGTATGAGGTGTTATTAGTTACAAACACTGAAGAGATCTACACAAGAACAGATGTATATTTAAATGGCCTTTTAACATATAAATTTTAAGATATTATGGATAAGTTAACACAGTAAGCATTGAATCCATTGATTACTTTTTGTTTGTGACACAAAGACAGCGACTGAATAAGACACAACAGAAGCTCTGTTATGTCTAATTTCAGATCTGATATTTTGAAAAATTCTATATGTTTAATATGTGATAAACTAATCTATACATCTAAAGTAGTTATCAGAAGTTTCCACAGTGGCCGCAGTTGTTGATCGGAATCTAAACAATATAAAACGAGATCACCAGAGCTGACTTAAAATCTGTCAGACCCTTGTGTCCGAGAAGAGGAATGTTGGCTTCTGGGACCTATATCTTACCCCTTTAATGGTCCTCAGATTAATAAGTCTTATTATATTTTGTATAGAACTAGCTGTTCTATATAGATAACCATTACTTTTCTCATCACAGTGGATTGTTGATAAACTCCCTATCCCCTCCCCCTACCTCCAGTGTCTGTACATCAGAAGGGTATGAGCAGCCATACAATGTCAGTAAATTTTCAAATGATCTTCGTTTTAAATATCTCTTTAAAAACTCACATTGCCATAAAGACACAAAGGATTAGTGGTCCCCACAGGTCCCCTGCAGAGAAAAGAAAAGAAATTTCACATTTTACAAAATAAGACTAAGTATCTCAAAATAAGGGATTTAATTAATAATATGTCCTTTTCAGATCTAAGGAGATTCTATACATTTGTTCAAAATGAAATAGCATAACCTGATCACTATCAAAGGTCCTGATAGGTATTTTGGCCTGGAAGGTTTGGGATTTGAGATTTTTCCCAATTTTACACATATCAAGATCATGTGACCAAAAACTTCACGTGAGCTAAAAGTAATACAAAGGCCATGAAAATGCAGGCTGACCTGAGAGTGGTGGGTTGGTATGCTGACCAGGAGATGATCTTTGGGACAGTTTGTTAGTTTGTTGACCAGAAGATGATGGGTTGGTCTGTTGACAGGGGTAGTACCTGGTGGGTTGGTGTGTTGATAGGGGTGGTGGGTTGACAGAAATGATGAATTGGTGTGTTGACCTGAGGATGGTATGTTCACCAGGAAATGATGGGTTTGTTTTTTTTTGACAGACGTGGTGGGTTGGTGTGTCGACGAGGGGAAGGCGGGTTGGTATGATGACAAGAGGATGGTTGATTAGTGTGTTGACCTGGAATGATGGGTTTGCATGTTGACCAGGGTATGGTGGAATGGCATGTTGACCAGGGTATGGTGGCTTGGCATGTTGACCAGGGTATGGTGGGATGGCATGTTGACAAAGATATGGTGGTTTGGCTTGTTGACTAGGGTATGGTGGGATTGCATGTTGACCAGGGTATGGTGGGTTGGCTTGTTGACCAGGGTATATTGGGATGGCATGTTGACAAAGATATGGTGGTTTGGCTTGTTGACCAGGGTATGGTAGGATGGCATGTTGACCTGAGTATGGTGGGATGGCTTGTTGACCAGGGTATGGTTGGATGGGATGTTGGCCATGGTAAGGTTGGTTGGCATGTTGACAAGGTTATGGTGGGATGGCTTGTTGACCAGGGTATATTGGGATGGCATGTTGACAAAGATATGGTGGTTTGGCTTGTTGACCAGGGTATGGTAGGATGGCATGCTGACCTGGGTATGGTGGGATGGCTTATTGACCAGGGTATGGTGGGTTGACATCTAGACCAGGGTATGGTGGGATAGATTGTTGACCAAGATATGGTGGTTTGGCTTGTTGACAAGGGTATGGTGGGATGACATGTTGGCCACGGTATGTTGGGATGGCATGTTGACCAGGGTATGTTGGGATGGCTTGGTGACCAAGATATGGTGGGATGGCATTTTGGCCAGCATATGTTGGGATGGCTTTTTGACCAGGGTATGGTGGGATGGCTTGTTGACCAGGGTATGTTGGGATGGCTTGTTGACCAGGGTATGATGGAATTGCATTTTGACCAAGATATGGTGGTTTGGCTGGCCAGGTTATGGTGGGATGGCATGTTGTTCAGGGTATGTTGGGATGGCTTGTTGACCAGGGTATGGTGGGATGGCTTGTTGACAAGGTTATGGTGGGATGGCATGTTGACCAGGGTACAATGGGTTCACATGTTGACCAGGTTATGGTGGGCTGGCAAGTTGACAGGGAACAGTGGGATGGCATGTTGACCAGGTTATGGTGGGATGGCATGTTGACCTGGGTATGGTTGGATGGGATGTTGGCCAGGTTATGGTGGGATGGCATGTTGACCAGGGTATGTTGGGATGGCTTGTTGACCAGGGTATGATGGGATGGCATTTTGACCAAGATATGGTGGTTTGGCTTGTTGACCAGGTTATGGTGGGATGGCATGTTGATCAGGGTATGTTGGGATGGCTTGTTGACCAGGGTATGGTGGGATGGCTTGTTGACAAGGTTATGGTGGGATGGCATGTTGACCAGGGTACAATGGGTTCGCATGTTGACCAGGTTATGGTGGGCTGGCAAGTTGACAGGGAACAGTGGGATGGCATGTTGACCGGAGTATAGTGGGATGGCATGTTGACCAGGTTATGGTAGGATGGCATGTTGACCAGGTTATGGTGGGATGGCATGTTGACCAGGGTATGGTTGGATGGGATGTTGGCCAGGTTATGGTGGGATGGCATGTTGACCAGGGTATGTTGGGATGGCTTGTTGACCAGGGTATGATGGGATGGCATTTTGACCAAGATATGGTGGTTTGGCTTGTTGACCAGGTTATGGTGGGATGGCATGTTGATCAGGGTATGTTGGGATGGCTTGTTGACCAGGGTATGGTGGGATGGCTTGTTGACAAGGTTATGGTGGGATGGCATGTTGACCAGGGTACAATGGGTTCGCATGTTGACCAGGTTATGGTGGGATGGCAAGTTGACAGGGAACAGTGGGATGGCATGTTGACCGGGGTATGGTGGGATGGCATGTTGACCAGGTTATGGTGGTATGGCATGTTGACCAGGTTATGGTAGGATGGCATGTTGACAAGGTTATGGTGGGATGGCATGTTGACCAGGGTACAATGGGTTTGCATGTTGACCAGGTTATGGTGGGCTGGCAAGTTGACAGGGAACAGTGGGATGGCATGTTGACCGGGGTATGGTGGGATGGCATGTTGACCGGGTTATGGTGGGATGGCATGTTGACCGGGGTATGGTGGGATGGCATGTTGACCGGGTTATGGTGGGATGGCATGTTGACCAGGGTATGGTGGGATGGCATGTTGACCAGGGTATGGTGGGACGGCATGTTGACCAGGGTATGGTGGGATGGCATGTTGACCAGGGTATGGTGGGATGGCTTGTTGACCAGGGTATGGTGGGATGGCATGTTGACCAGGGTATGGTGGGATGGCATGTTGACCAGGGTATGGTGGGATGGCATATTGACCAGGTTATGGTGGGATGGCTTGTTGACCAGGGTATGATGGGATGGCATGTTGACCAGGTTATGGTGGGATGGCATGTTGACCAGGGTATGGTGGGATGGCATGTTGACCAGGGTATGGTGGGATGGCATGTTGACCGGGTTATGGTGGGATGGCATGTTGACCGGGGTATGGTGGGATGGCATATTACATGTTCAGGAAACTCACATTCTTTTAGAAGTGCTCTACTTGTTTTTGGATACAGGACATGGAAAAACTTAGTGCCCACTGCTTTTACATCTCGCATCTGAAAGTACAAAACAAAAACATGTAAAATCAGGTTTATTTTCTACAAAATCATCTAAAACATATAACTAATATACAAAATTATTGATATACTCTAATATCAAAATTTTATAACAATGATACTGTTGAAAAAAAAACAACAAGCAACAGGCAAGATAACTCCATGACACTGATAAGAATGACTTGATTCTTGTTAATAAAAACCAGACTGTGTTAGTTAATTATGATCATGCACATACCACTGTATCCTTGACAGGTTCATCCAGTGTAGAAAAATGATCCTCGTCATCTTCAGTTTGAGCCAAGCCAGGAACAGTTATCTCCCCTTCAAGTGACACATCATTCATCATCCCCTGCTGATACAGTAAGTAAAAAGGACAATGTATCAGAACAGAGGTGATATACAGTGTCTGCTGCTATCAAGCCAGAAACTACTGACTTTTGAAATGAAAGTTAGATACAATAATTGAAGTAAGATTAATAGCAATTCACTCTAAGTGAATGTCAAAAATTAATTAAGATTCATAAAACTGTAACCCTGGTAAAATACTAGCTGCAATATACCACTCAGTTAGAGAGAACTTCTCTTATGCTTAATTGGTTGAGCACCAGACTAGTAAGCCAGGGGTACTGGGTTTGATTCCTAGTGGAGACATTGAAATAAAAAATGACCTCTGTTACTTTGGCGACAATGTAGGGACCCGGGAATAGTACTTAGCCATGCCCAACCAGCATCGCTGTAACCCCTGGAAACTCGAGGATGAGTTATTTTCTGGAGGGTGAGTATGTAACCCTGGTAAAATACTAGCTGCAATATACCACTCGTCTAGAAAGAACTTCTCTTAAGCTTGATTGGTTGAGCACCAGACTAGTAAGCCAGGGGTCCCGGATTCGATTCCTGGTGGAGGCATTGAAATAAATAATGACTTGTGTTACACATGGCGCCCATCTAGGGACCTGAGAATAGTACTAAGCCATGCCCCATCTGCATCACTGTGACCCCTGGAAACTCGCGGATGAGTTATTTCCTGGAGGGGGAACATGTAACCCTGGTAAAATACTAGCCGCAATATACCACTTGGCTAGAGAGAACTTCTCTTTACCTCGATTGGTTGAGTGTCAGACTAGTAAGCCAGGGATCCCGGTTTCGATTCCTAATGGAGGCATTGAGAAATCCACTTTTTTTATACTTTTTCCCATTTCAAGTATTTCTGTACATTGTGCTAGATATTCACGTTTTATCATTTTATGTATGGGCTAATTATATAAACTCACGGAGTTTAAACGGAAATTAGTTAGCTAAAGAATCCGGACCAGAGAGGTTATACTGTAAGGCAAAATTTGTAAGGAATCAATGACTTGGGAACGCTCGATTGCTGATTCATCAAACGTAATTGACAATGAAAGAGTCTTAAAAGTTCGGCATTTGAATTGTTGTTAAGATTCTATAACCAATTTACAACTCACTTAAGTCATCCTGTCAACGAGATGAAAATTAAAATCAGAAAATGTCATTTGACAACATGTCAAGTATAGGTCAACTCATACATTCAGACGTCAGTCTATGCCAACAGGTATTGAATGATGTACAACAGCAACATTGAAACACTCAAATTCAGATGAAAATTTTTAACGACCGAAAGAAAAACAAATTTGTTGCTAACCTCTTGGCCGTGGAACTCCACGTCAGCCATGATGAGAAATTCCCTACTTCCGGATGCGCGAGATTGAAAGACTCGGAAGTTTTCTAGACTCATCGAATACTTATTGCGTTAAACTCCGAGGTCTTCTGAAAGGGGTGTTTCCCAAGTTTTTTGTGTACGTCTTCCACGTGTTGACAGCTCAGTGAGGATGTCGAAACCGACGCCGGCGGATGGGAAAGCAGACAACGACATACATTTGTCATTTTAATGTGATGTGAAACGTGATACAATGTATCGTTTACTTTCAATTAGACTTTTCATGACTTTTGTGATTGTTGGTGTTGCTTCTGCATCTTCTGATGGCAATGGAGAAAGCCCAGCCGAAAATTTAAAAGATCGCAGCGATGGCGGAGGGAACCTCTCACCTATCGATATGTGTATCCTTTTTTCATGATTGGTGTTCATATACACCACACTCTAGACAACTTTACGTAGTAAAACTGGCCGAAATCGTGTTGTGTTTTAAATGCAGTGTATATCGGAGTTTAATACAGTTATGTATTGAGTTTTTACAATTTACATTAACTCTGATTAAAAACATTAGAGATAAAATTTCATGTACGATTATGCTTCCTTAATGTGTTTTTACTCGTGGACTATAAATATGTTTCCGATATCGTCCAGTCAGTTTGAAACTGATATAGTAACGTTGAGGTTTTATTAACATTTATCACCTAAATTATGTCAATTTTCCTAACAAAATGCTCTGAAAACACATTTATTTTTTTGTGTAAAGAAAAGTACATTTATATCAATAGCACAAGAGTTTCAAAGAAATAACAATTTCATTAATATTTATATTTTGTAATCATTATTTGATGGAAAATTATTTTCAGTTTACCAAAATGATATAATGACAAAAAAGAAAGGAAAAAGACAGGAAATGAAAAATGTAATAATCAGTGAAAATGTTAAAAAAAAAAAGAAAGAAAAAAAAGCTTGCTATTATTAATGTTCATTTTATGAAATGTTTCTGTAGTAACTTTATTGGTACCACACCGTTTAGCAAATTTATTGATTTTTCTGACAGTGTGTCAGACAATTCAGAAACACGATAAGTTAATATAATATTAACAACAATGAATGTTTCATGCTAGATGTTGTCACTCAGAAGATCCTGTAGTTTCTAAGCACCAGGGATATTAATTAAAAACAAAATTCAATCCTTCTTCATTGGCAGTATAACAACACTGACTGTATTACAATGTCTACTCAACAATGCTGCTAGACATACATGACACAAAGAACAATAATATGTTTTTTTCTCTTTCTCTCTCTCTCTAAGATTATGTCTGTAACAGACAAATTAATTATCCTATTCATTGTCTTATTCTTCGTTGTACATTTGGCAAAGTAACTGTACATTTCCATAGAAAAGAAATCCACAGCTTATAGTGTAATTTCTAATCTTGTCACTTTGTAAAAACAGAACATATTGCTCAAAAAAGACATTTGAAGAAATTTTCACCAATTAAGCTTATGCTATAGTAGATACAAATTTCCCTCGAGTTTGTAAAACAGGAGATGAACTGTTTCGGATATGAAGGCACAACATGCCCTATCTCCCAGTCACGGCCATTAACAGCTATTACAATGTGCCCATACTTCACCCAGTAGTATTGATCTGACTGGAGTTCTGGGGTTCCACTTACTTGCTGGAAACTGGATTGATTTTTGGGTACTGAGCATCTTGATAGAATGTGGGAAGCTTGTAGGAGATGTTTTGGGATTTTTATGTTTTTATCAGGGTTTGGCTATCAGCTTTATCTATTCATACATGTACAGTATGTATACCTGCAAGCATTGTAGGAATATCCTAGAAACATAAAAAAGAAAACCAAACAAAAAAAAAAACACACAAAAAACAAAATGTTTATGATGTATATGATAGTTAATACTATATATAAGAGGTTATGTGATTTCAAATAGTCTGTGAAAAGGTTAAATCATATTTATCAGTTACATAAGTTACATAAAAATTACTTAACTATACATACTCCCATATTTCACTGCCTTTTCAGCCAAATACAATAATGGCTTGTAAGATGTATATTTGAACTCTTCAAATTAAAATGATAGAGAAAATTCTGTCCCCATCCCATCTCCTCTGGCCTCCTCCCAACAATTCAATAAATGATAAAATCTAGAAATAAAAATTTGGCTTTTACTATAGACTCAAAGAACAGTTCCTATCAAATTTTCTTTAAAGTATGAACTAAAGAAAATTCAAAGTTAAGAAACATAGTTATTTAGAAAGGAAAAAGTGAATGTAGATTTTTTTTCATAATCAGGTACATCATGATTCATGGATTCGTGGATAAGAGGAGAAAGCATCATTTCCACAGAGATTTTCTTTTGCTATAAAATTTCACCTATAATTGTTTGAATGGTGTTTTCTACAAATAAGTCATGCATTAAGAAGCTACAATAAGATGAAGATGTACATTTATATATATATATGTGATAAACAAAAGCATATGCAGTCAGTAAATTAGTTAATATGTAAATGATGCATTGATAACATAATGGCTGTGATATTCTGTTAACGCCATTACTTTCGATGGTTCAATATTCGCCTTGGTTAACCAAAAGTTAGAAGCATTATGGATGGAACTATAGCTTTTCTTATTTGATTAATTTTTGTGATTTGATAGTATTTGAAATCAATAGGTTACTATATTACTCACTGAAAGTGATTTTTTTAGTTTTAAATATTTTGAGGGAGATAACTCTATCAAAAAATTTTAAAAAACAATTGTATTACAATAGGTTTGTAAAGAGGCATTCTGACTTGATAAAATAATGTAATCCAACCAGACAGTCACCAAATACACAGAATGCAACTTACTCAACCTCTTTCACATGTATAGTTTAGATTATGTATTGAATCAGTTGGGTCTTGCCTTAAGACATTGTATAGCAAATTGAACTTGACTAACTTTGCATTGATGTGTAAATATAAAGGTTGCTATTTGCCCTAAGCTTTCCTGTTCAGCATAGCTGGTTGACTTTGCTTCTAAATGTTATTGATGTTTTACAAGGTATGTGTGGACTTTGACATTTCCTGAAAAAAATGGGAAAACAAACTCTTGTACATTTTTCAGTCATTGATTGATATGTATGTAAGCTTCATCAGTTACTGCTATTTATTGTTGACTGATGGCCAAAGTCACGTCCATTTCTATCCATGAACTGCAAAATCAATGACATTCTGATGTTTTTTGAAATATTTCCAGCATTAAAAAGTTTTCAGAAAGAAGTAAGGACATATCTGGTTGTCTGGGAATACATTGTTATTGTTTTTGTTGATACCATGAATCATAGCAAGATATTCACCCAAGTTAAACCACATATAAAAGAGCTGTATTTTTCATAATAACCTCCCTAGCTCCACTGTGTATCAAAGAGTTGTATTCTACATAATAATCTGCCCAATTCCATCCTATATCATAGAGTTGTATTCTTCATAATAATCTCCCCAATTCCATCATATATCAAAGAGTTGTATTCTACATAATAATCTGCCCAATTCCATCTTGTATCAAAGATTTGTATTCTACATAAAAATCTCCCCAACTCTATCTTATATCATAGAGTTGTATTTTACATAATAACCTACCCAATTCCATCTTGTATCAAAGATTTGTATTCTACATAATAATCTGCCCAATACCATCTTGAATCAAAATTTTGTGAACTACATATTAATCTCACCATCTTCATCTTGCATCAAAGTTTTGTATTCTACATAAAAAATCTCCCTATCTCAATCTTGTATCATAGAGCTGTATTCTACACAATAATCTCCCCAGCTCTACCTGATATCGTAGAAATGTATTCTACACAATAATCCCTTTTGTGGCCTTTGACCTCTTAGTAAACAAGATAGAAAAGTGAGAAGAGTAGGTATATCTGTAAGTGAAAGGGGTAGATGAAGAAGGGAACTGGTTTAGAGATTGAGTTGACTTTTCCTGCAGTAACTATGGAAACAGGCATCCAGTCATATGAAAGTTACAATTCTGTGCTTTCATTTCTTCTTCAATAGATGTTAATTTTCAAATTTAAAGGCATCAATTTATCATTCCAACTTTTGTATAAACATAAATGTCATTCCACATATGGTGTAACATTTTAGTATGTTTTGATTGCTTAACAAAATGGATGATTGTTGGACAGAATGAACTTAAATCAAAAGGTTGCTTCACACACTTACAGAAATAAAAACTGCAATAAGTTGTTTACAATCGGTTTTGTAAGAATTTGATTTTTATTTTGATTTCTTTCCTGGTTTGCTTTGAATTAAACTAACCTATTTAACTCTAGTCATCATTTGTAATGAGTTACAAAGTCTCCATGAATTTCTGAAATTGTCAAGTTTTCATATTAATAAGCAGCATTTCACCAAAGGTCCTGTCATAATGTCTCAACTGATGATGTTAACAAAACACGTGTAGATACAGAACAGGTCATTTCAAGTTTGTATTGTGGTAGAAACAGGTAACACCAAACTGGTTGCAGTAGATATTTCTGTCTCTTTTGTTCCAAAAGCTATGAAAAGTTTCAGTAAAGCTTGTATTTTTTGAAACTCTTGAAAAACTCAAATGAAAGAAATACCATATCCAACAATCACACATTATGTAACCTCTATATATCTATCTTGCTATTTTGAGCTTTTGATGCCATTAACCATGAAATGGCCATTTAACTTTTAGAGTTTGAATAAAGGTTTTCTGGAAAATGGTAAGATCAAAATTTTGGGAATTTGAGAGGTAAAGGAGTTGGGATGGATGGGGGGGTGAAGGATGGGGGGGGGGGAGGGGGGGAGAAGTGGGTGGAGGGCAGGGGCGCTAAGATTTTATCTTAGATTCTTGATTAATTTTGGTATTAGATTCTGTAGACAGGACTCCAATAATATTTTCAGGAGTCATGAGTATACTTCTTAACAAAGTCAATAGTACTAAACAGTTCCAAATTTCTCTTTGATTGGAGAAGAAGCTTTGGTGTCCTTTGACAAGTCGAGATCAATATTTAGAATTAATCACAGTCCTTGTAACAAGGAAGAAGGACATGAATGATTATAGTGCTTTCCACATCCATTGTGTACTGATTTAAACATTGAAACATCAACTTATATTCCCTCAGTATATTTTTGCTTTGTAAATCACCTCCATCAACATCCATAAGGGCCTTTGGATATGTACAGTAAAAGTTTCATCATACACACTGTCTGCAATCTTTGTCTTTTTGTGCTCATTAAAGAATGACAACCCAGAGGAAACATAAATAAATAAAAGATATTTCAGGAGATATATGTGTATGTATGATCTTGTACATTTTTAGAAACAGATCAGCATGATTGATTATTAGCCCCCTTCTGAGTACTAGAGGGGAAGACTAAATCTGGGAGTGAATTATATGTACAGTTTGCATTGTGTCCGTCTGTCCTTCCCCTTTAATACTGTATATTGTCTGGACTCTGTCCTAATTTACTTGTCATTAGAACTTCATACTTCAGGCATTGGTTGACCTATAGATGAGGCAGTATGTCATTTACCAAATGTAGGTCACTTTGACCTACATTTTGACCTTTGACTGAAGCTGTGAATTTGTGATATTATTGATATGCCAGCTAAAATTACTGATATTACAGTGAATAGTTTCACATTCATGCCACCAAACACAATTAAATAAAGAAACACATTGGAAGACAACATATCACCAGGTGTGATTATTTAGTAAAACAGCACAACTTATCAGTATACATCCGGGAGATTTATTTGCAGTAGTAACAAGGGCACTATTTGTTATTGAATACAGTCAGTCTGTCAAACATCCCGTATCAAGAATTAGTTCCTACAAGAATTCATCATCTGTGCATTCCTGGCATAAAATTTTACATTTGATGGGGGACTGCAATTCATCATGATATTATTGTCTTGTTAGAAAAAATATATCCTTATAGATAACACAGTGATTGGTTTTTGATGAAAAGAAAATAAAAAATATCAAAAGTGGGCTATCAGGAGTTAAATAAAATGATGGACACATTTCAGTTGAATTTGAAATGCCAGATGTAATTTTCAAACTCAGAATTAGATGTCCCTGGTACAACACCAATGTCTTCCTATCGTCATAAATCAACTGTCTCTTTGGCTCATCAGTAGAGTGACCCAGTGGCTCTGGATTTGATACCTAGTGATCATAAGATAAGGAAATAATGACCCTCGGCATTGGTAAAATTGGAACATTTGGGACATTTCTTTCCAGAGACTCCAGGTGGAAGATTCAGTAAAATGATGTGATAAATTATTGACCCAAGGTTGAATTCTTGAGCACTAGACACAATACAAATTAAAATAAACAATATGTTTAAAAAATTGTGTTTCATCATAAAATAAACAATTGAGTCATTAGATTTTGAAACATGATAAACTGTTGATTAATTTCTAATTTTATTAAATAAGATTTGTTAAAATCTTGGATGACTGATAGAGTGAATATGTAATAGGCTAGCTTTCATGATCTTTACAAAGGATTTCAATATAAGGGGAGATAACTGTGGTATCCTTAGCTTTACAACAGATAGAAGCCTCTTTGAGAAACACCGTGTGATGCAGCTTGATGCTGTCAAATCTATCCAGACATTTGGGGATTATGCTCAGCGTCACCAACTTGTCAAAATCATGATCCAACAGTTGTTTAAGGTAAATTAACACTGAAATTATATGTACAGACAAATTCTAATTATGACATGATGTAATTTCAAAAGCAAAATTACAAGATATGTTTTTCAAAAAGTTGTGAGAATTTTAGATAATAGTATCATTCAGAACATTGCCTTGATGGCAAAAAAGTAAAAACATACTGTTGCTGTATGCTTGTGTTTTAACGAAACATAATAAGCAGATGTAACTATAGTATTACTTAACTATTTTGGATGTTTTCATTTTGCCCTGTTTGTACCAGGTTCTAGGTGAGGGTAAGGTGAACCTGACAGAATGGGGATACATGCCTGGAGACCCATTTCCTGTGAATACAACAATAAGAGACAGTGAGTATTTCAGCATTATGACCTGCACCAGCACCTATATAAATATAAAGTGGCATTCCATGTACTCTTATCAAAGAATGGCATCAAGGGTGCCACCTGTACTCATATCAAAGAATGATGTCAAGGATGCCACCTGTACTCATATCAAAGAATGATGTCAAGGGTGCCACCTGTACTCATATCAAAGAATGATGTCAAGGGTGCCACCTGTACTCATATCAAAGAATGATGTCAAGGGTGCCACCTGTACTCATATCAAAGAATGATGTCAAGGGTGCCACCTGTACTCATATCAAAGAATGATGTCAAGGGTGCCACCTGTACTCATATCAAAGAATGATGTCAAGGGTGCCACCAGTACTCATATCAAAGAATGATGTCAAGGGTGCCACCTGTACTCATATCAAAGAATGACATCAAGGGTTGCCTTCTGTAGGGTGCCACCTGTACTCATATCAAAGAAATACAACAAGGGTGCCACTGTACTCATATCAAAGAATTACAACAAGGGTGCCACCTGTACTCATATCAAAGAATGACATTAAGGATGCCACCTGTTCTCATATCAAAGAATGACATTAAGGATGCCACCTGTTCTCATATCAAAGAATGACAACGGGGCAACCCTATACTTCTATCAAAGAATGACAACAGGGCAACCCTATACTTCTATCAATGAATGACAATGGGGCAACCCTATACTTCTATCAAAGAATGACAACGGGGCAACCCTATACTTCTATCAAAGAATGACAACGGGGCAACCCTATACTTCTATCAAAGAATGACAACAACACTGCCCCTGTTATCGTATTAAATAATAACAGTAAGACTGCCCCCATTGTGATAGTCTAATACGACAGGATGATAAAATGATGTGAGGGGGTTTGGCCAGAGTGTTTAGTGGTTAGTACAAATGGCCACCCTACAGCTGGTGCTCTGTATAACCTAGTGGGACAACAGTGCCCCTTATACATGAAGTGAACCTAACTTACCTATTGTTACAGTGCCCCCTATAGATAACCTGACAACAGGTGGCGCCCCCTTTTTCACCTCAATCAGGGACTGATGTCTCATGGTACTAGTATCTAATATTGACAACAGGTGGTGCCTTTAGTGTACTCATCCTTCATGATAAATCATCACCTACATGTATATTTGTCTGATAAAACTGACCCCCACAAAAACACAAACATTGACATTTCAAGTAGCTTGGCTAATTCTTAATAAAGTAGTCACAGCTTTATATCAGAATCTTGTGAAGAGATACTGAGTGCCAGTATTATCTTTCTCGCTATAATTAGGTGTTTATCGAGCTGATCGGTGACTCATGTGGTTGGATTTTGAGGTAGGCGGGGAGAAATTAGAGATATATAAAATACAAAATTAGCAGAGTAATGGGTGTAAAGGACATATTGGAAAAGATTGAGGGATGTTGTAAGGAACATATATATTGAATATATTGAAGTGATATAGAGAAAAAAGGAAAGAAAAGGAAAGATGTGGTAAGAAAATAATTAGGGGAAAAGGGGTAGAGATAACCTGGAGATAATGAAGGGATAGAGAGAAGGGGTAAAGATAACCTGGAGATAATGAAGGGATAGAGAGAAGGGGTAAAGATAACCTTGAGATAATGAAGGGATAGAGAGAAGGGGTAGAGATAACCTTGAGATAATGAAGGGATAGAGAGAAGGGATAGATATTACCTGGAGATAGTGAAGGGATAGATAGAAGGGGTAGAGATAACCTGGAGATAATGAAGGGATAGAGAGAAGGGGTAGATATTACCTGGAGATAATGAAGGGATAGAGAGAAGGGGTAGAGATAACTGGAGATAGTGAAGGGATAGAGATAAGGGGTAGAGATAACTGGAGATAATGCAGGGATAGAGAGAAGTGGTAGAGATAACCTGGAGATAGTGAAGGGATAGAGAGAAGGGGTAGAGATAACCTGGAGATAATGAAGGGATAGAGAGAAGGGGTAGATATTACCTGGAGATAATGAAGGGATAGAGAGAAGGGGTAGAGATAATTGGAGATAGTGAAGGGATAGAGAGAAGGGGTAGAGATAACCTGGAGATAGTGAAGGGATAGAGAGAAGGGGTAGATATTACCTGGAGATAGTGAAGGGATAGAGAAAAGGGGTAGAGATAACCTGGAGATAGTGAAGGGATAGAGATAAGGGGTAGAGATAACTGGAGATAATGCAGGGATAGAGAGAAGTGGTAGAGATAACCTGGAGATAGTGAAGGGATAGAGAGAAGGGGTAGAGATAACCTGGAGATAATGAAGGGATAGAGAGAAGGGGTAGATATTACCTGGAGATAATGAAGGGATAGAGAGAAGGGGTAGAGATAACTGGAGATAGTGAAGGGATAGAGAGAAGGGGTAGAGATAACCTGGAGATAGTGAAGGGATAGAGAGAAGGGGTAGATATTACCTGGAGATAGTGAAGGGATAGAGAAAAGGGGTAGAGATAACCTGGAGATAGTGAAGGGATAGAGATAAGGGGTAGAGATAACTGGAGATAATGCAGGGATAGAGAGAAGTGGTAGAGATAACCTGGAGATAGTGAAGGGATAGAGAGAAGGGGTAGAGATAACCTGGAGATAGTGAAGGGATAAAGAGAAGGGGTAGAGATAACCTGGAGATAGTGAAGGGATAGATAGAAGGGGTAGAGATTACCTGGAGATAATGAAGGGATAGAGAGAAGGGGTAGAGATAATTGGAGATAGTGAAGGGATAGAGAGAAGGGGTAGAGATAACCCGGAGATAATGCAGGGATAGAGAGAAGTGGTAGAGATAACCTTGAGATAATGAAGGGATAGAGAGAAGGGGTAGATATTACCTGGAGATAATGAAGGGATAGAGAGAAGGGGTAGAGATAACCTGGAGATAGTGAAGGGATAAAGAGAAGGAGTAGAGATTACCTGGAGATAGTGAAGGGATAGAGAGAAGTGGTAGAGATAACCTGGAGATAATGCAGGGATAGAGAGAAGTGGTAGAGATAACCTTGAGATAATGAAGGGATAGAGAGAAGGGGTAGATATTACCTGGAGATAATGAAGGGATAGAGAGAAGGGGTAGAGATTACCTTGAGATAGTGAAGGGATAGATAGAAGGGGTAGAGATTACCTGGAGATAGTGAAGGGATAGAGAGAAGGGGTAGAGATAACCTGGAGATAGTGAAGGGATAGAGAGAAGGGGTAGAGATAACCTGGAGATAGTGAAGGGATAAAGAGAAGGGGTAGAGATAACCTGGAGATAGTGAAGGGATAGAGAGAAGGGGTAGAGATAACCTGGAGATAATGCAGGGATAGAGAGAAGTGGTAGAGATAACCTGGAGATAATGAAGGGATAGAGAGAAGGGGTAGATATTACCTGGAGATAATGAAGGGATAGAGAGAAGGGGTAGAGATAACCTTGAGATAATGAAGGGATAGAGAGAAGGGATAGAAATGATGCCAATGATTGAAGTTAGCAGAGATTTGAAAAGGAAGTATAGGAAGGAATGATTTGGAAGGAAAGAAATAGGTAGACATAGGGGATAAATATAAGAGGAGTATGAGGGAGTGAGGAGGAGTGTGAAGGATGCATCAGCAGGTTTTTATCCTTGGAAATACATCAAACAGGCCAGATACGGTCAAACCCCTGGGGAGGGGACATAACTCCTGTACCCACTGATTATGTGGTTTTATTTTACTGTAAACAGGCCTATCTGGAGATCTGAGGATTAAAGGGCTATCTTTCTGGGTCAACATCCCCCTGTGTCAGGGCTCCGGTGGCTGGGAGGTTGTTTTATACTTCTGCTAATCTGGCTAGGGATGTATGATGATGATTGGCTATCCCCACTATCTCCCACCTCCACACTCCTTATATCACTGCTCAAACCCTTCATGACCCCTCTCCCTATCTTGATTACTTGTTTCAAAATCACCTGCAGTGATCAGTCCATTTTAAATCTTGGATCTAGAAAGAAACGTTTTATTGATAAATTTACATCTAATTGAGCCAAATGTCATGTTAAAGGTATTTTTCCCCCTTTTTTCCATCAAAGTAACCTTCAGTTACTTTTCACAAGGAGGTGTTTTTTTATGTACTCAGAAAATTTATTTGACCCAAGCATTTATCACATTTTTCTGTTTTATTCTATCAATTGAGATTAACAAATAACAGTAAATTGTAAAAAACAACAAGAAATGGTTATCTATTTCATCTGCATTTCCATCAATCAACAATTATCGTATAGAATTATTCAGGTCAAACTCAAAGTTTATTAGAACACCATACAGCCCCATTGACACTTCCGTTCATTTGGACATGCTGGGTTTGTTTAAACAGCTCCACCAGTTCAAAGTTAAAGATTTTCACTTAATTTTACCCTACAAAGTTGTAAGGAAGGTCTGAGAAATATAAAAGAGTTTTATCTAGCATAAATTTAGATATGATAATGGATAATTAATTAGAAACAGATTCGTTAAAAATTTTATATGATCATGTTGATTACAAAGCACTAATTTTCACATTAATTATGTTACCATAGCAACAGATGTTTACAGAACCTTTATATATATATTGAGGAACTTTTTATATAGCCCATTTCCTCTGGCTCCTACACCTGATGGTTTGACACCTTTGGGATGCCGGGTCCCATGAATTATCCCATAATAATTTAGAACTACAATGTATCTAGTTGTAAAATAACAGACTGTTAGCCCTGTTTAACACTTTTATCATAACTTTTTTCTGTTCATATTTTTATTCTGCTGTTTGGTAATTGGTAAGAGTTTATTTTGCCTTTATCTGTTATGGCCTGTTCTGATTTGATTGGAGTGCTGGCCTCTGTAATCTAGGTGAAGATCCAAGTTTTATGGTTCAAAGCTGGCCTACCCATTTTGGTCTCTTTTTCTAAGGGACCCGAGAACCAGACCAGTCTGTCCTGGCATGGTTGTGTCCTTGGGCAAGACACTTTACCTGTATTGCTGTGGACAGCCTATGACAGATCTCTTGTACATTGTTAAGTGAGGTAGTCATGGGCTACTACGAGGAGACCCCACCTCAACATTACCCTGGATGTTCACATGGCAGTTAAGTTAGAAACAATCAAACAGTCATTTTTATTAGAAATAGATTGTAGCAATGTTATATTAGTAACCTGGGATCGTATACTGCTCTGTGGTCCAATCAAATCAGTTTTCATGTATTTTGATAAACTGAAGAAATTGCATTTCTTTTTAATGTCTCTTAGGAGATGCATGTTCTGTCTATTTCTCAAAAAGAATTGAAGGAAAATAGCCAGGAAATTTTTTTTTAGAAAATGATAAAAATGAAGCTAGACACTGAGCAGACCCCACTCTATTCTTGTTTAGTGTTTTTTTTTCTCTGAAGAATAATTGATAGGGGGCTACCCAAAAGTGGGAGAGGGGAGAGAAGGACTGCCCTATTGTTGGAGAAGGGGAGGGGAAAGAAGGCTGCCCTGAAGTGGGGGAAAGGGAGGGGGCAGCCCAAAATTGGGGGAGGGGATGATGGAGGGGGTTTGAGGGGCTTCTCCCTAAATCCTTAAAATCTGTTGAAAAAATGTTTTGTAAATAACAAGAGCTGGAGTCACCTTTGTGATTCAACATAAAAATTTCTCCACTTACCATATGGATCGTAACAAATCAGAGTACAGTTACTACAGTACAGCTCTAAAATCATATCTGATTATCGCAGGAATTGGTGCCAAACTCTACGACAACTGAGTATATTGTCGAATGAAAGTAATTTGTGGTTTCCTCTTAACTCTCCTGTAAGACCTCAGTATTTGCCTTTCTCTGCCTGTAGGGACCTGCACTTTTGTCCCGTAGATGTTTATTGAATCTGTGGGAAAATTAGATTTGGAAAGATAAAATTCGTAAAAATTATGTGTGGGGGATGATGGAATGTGGATTTGTCGACGCCAATCACCAGACTAAGACATACACATTTGTACTTTATGTAAAGTGTGTAAGTGTTCAGACATTTTATACATACAGGTATATTAGACAAACTTTGACATTATGGGATGGCTAGTAGGCACAGCAAACAGAGGACCTCCTGTTCAATGGCAGCAGTGTAGGATTTTCCCAATCACCTGTTTAAACTTTCTGCAAAATTTCTTGAAATGAATGTTTTGTTCAATGCCAAATTTAGATCCTCAGACCTTATCCAACTTAAACCTAATTCATTCCATGTTAAAGTTATCAATAAAACAAGGATCTTCCATGTGTATTAATGCAATGTTAAATTTATTAACCAAGTTCAATCATTTGATATTTCACCAACATTTAGGCAGGTTTGATAAATATCGTACATATGCACCTGAGTATAAGATTCTGTTTATTATATAACCAATATTTCTGGAAGAAATGCAAAAACTTTCAAATTAGTTTTCCTGTAAGATTACTTATTTTGGCATGCATGGACAGTGCGTTTTTCACAACATGACATGACTTATTGATGAAATCACAATAGTGTAATTACACATGTGTCTTGCAATATCTATGACAAAACAGGGCAATTATGTGATAAATGTATATAAATCTGAGTTATCTGGCATCCCATGGTATATTGTCAGAATAAACAGGATGTCGGAATACTCAGGTCTGATTTGGTACGTCTACATGGTATTCAACTCAAATGTAACTGAATTGTCATGTTGGACAATAGTAATAATGGAATATTTCAAGTTAATATATAGGAATTAAAATAAACATTAATAGACTGTGGGATTAGAAGGTGACACAAGTTTCTTCACTTGAATGTTGAAAAAGATATGTTTTATCCAATCAAAAAATGTTTGATATTGAAAATTGTTATTTTAAATGACAAACAAACATCACAATAACAAAAAATGATATATAATTTTGTAATAAGTGATTTGTTTTTCAGATGAGCTAATTTTCAAATGTGTTTGCACAGGATTAAGATTATTATTTTAACTGCGCTATTACAGTTTGTGATTTTTAGGTTATTATATTTCTGAATTACAAGACATGTGTTAGTTGAAACACCTGCATTATAAATAATAGAAGGATATTATTCATTATTCTAGGGAGTGGTGCTTGGTTGCTTTCCTGTCGTAACATATTCTCATCATAATTATCCATTCATACCCGGTAAAAAAAATCTATTTTCAGAGATTTTTTTTCTTTGACTCTATGATTGTGTAATTCTCATTTGCAATTGCAACACACACCATTGTCATATTTTTTCTAGGAATTTTACAGGAAATGCAGGGAGTGTATTGTAAATACTTGAACTGTACTTGTCTGTGTCTTCTGAAATCTTGGACAAATCTGAAGGGGGATAACTCTTTGTAGTGTTAGATCAATCATTGTTTTTAAGTTGATCAATTGTGATGTATTACATAGTAAAGATTGGTTTCCTGAAAATTGTATCGTCAACAATATTTGAATTTCAGTTTGTAGTTTTGGTATCTGTGAAAGTCTGAATTTTTCATAAAACCAACCAGTGGAAGAGAATTTCACAGAAAAATTGTGAAATTTGTTCATACCTTTAATTCACACTTGTGAAATAACTGTACCTTTAAATTTCTATTTAATTAACAGGTATGTCCAAGGTGCTGGAAAATGTAGCCATGTTTGGTGACCTGGTTCTTCGTCTGCCAGATATCACACACGAGATTTTCGATAAGAATAAAGAATGGCATCTAATTCTAGGCTGGGGTGTGTGGTTCTGCAATGAATCTAAAATCTTCCAAGGAAATAGTGCAAAACTTCTCTCGCTGGTAAGTGATGTGTTTATGTTGTAAAATACTAATTACATTGATAGTTTGACTAGAATAACTCGTCACTTTACCTTTAATATACAAACTGGGCGCATTGATATATGCATAATTATGCTGCTCATCTGTTATTTGTTAGGGGTATGAAATACAGTGAATGTCTATGAATGTGAAGATTAACTATGCTCCTCATGTGGGTATTACTATGCCTGTAATCTGTGTCAATGAAAGGTGAATGCGACAGGACATTAAGGTCTGATTGTATAGCTATTTTCGTTATATTTGTTATTATTTATAAAAAGTTAATTGTTTTAAGGGACCTTATTTTATAGATGTTAATTACTGTGTACATAGAATTTTTGAAATCATGACACCTTGAGGATTTTTTGTTTCATAGCCCTAAGTTCAAGGTTCAAGTCTCCTATCTGTTTTTAGAGAATTATCACAAATTGTTAAATTTTTCACTATAGTCAATTATGTTTTGTTAAATCTATGTAAATTTGTTAAAATTAGATTGTGTCCTATCAGGATATTGTTGAATTGTATGTATTGAAAGAATCAGATAAATTCATGTTGTTAATTCTTTTGGAATGCCTGGTAAACAGAAAACTACACTGTGTCAATATCAATCATAGTAACATCCTTCATACTCAGACAAAGGCAATACCCAGACAAAGCCCTGTAATTCATACTTTTATGTTACAACTGTTGACAATGGCTGTCATTGATAGGAAAAGTTACATAATCAGCAACAGATGCTCCCACCATATGGTGATGTTGGTGATTTGGTCTGCTGACAGAGTTTTTACTATGCTCTAGTCTCCAGTAAATCTCAATCTGAAAAGTACAAGCAGAACAAAAGTGAAATCATTCAACCTCTTTGAACATATTGCTTTTTATTGAGTAAAACCTTGTTATACTGTCACCATTATACAGTAAAACCTTGTTATACTGTCACCATTATACAGTAAAACCTTGTTATACTGCCACCATTATACAGTAAAACCTTGTTATACTGCCACCATTATACAGTAAAACCTTGTTATACTGCCACCATTATACAGTAAAACCTTGTTATACCCACCATTGTTATACTGTCACCATTATACAGTAAAACCTTGTTATACTGTCACCATTATACAATAAAACCTTGTTATTTGTGAGTAAAACCTTGTTATGACTGCCACCATTATACAGTAAAACCTTGTTATACTGCCACCATTTGTTGAGTAAAACCTTGTTATACTGTCACCATTATACAGTAAAACCTTGTTATACTGTCACCATTTGTGAGTTAAAATCTTGTGAAACTGCCACCATTATACAGTAAAACCTTGTTATACTGTCACCATTTGTGAGTTAAAACCTTGTGAAACTGCCACCATTATACAGTAAAACCTTGTTATACTGTCATCGTTTGTTCAGTTAACCTAATTAAGCTGCCACCAGTTGTTTAGCTAACCTTGCTGCCAACATTCATCTGATGAAGCTTTTCAGTTCATGAGATTAGACAATATGTTTACTGTCTTTTTGGTGACACTGAAGTGTCATCTTGCCGTAGCCAAGGTCATGTCAAAGCCAATAGTTGGATATACACAGGGTGTGTATTTTACACCTCTGCTGATTCATTTCTGTGGATATACACAGGGTGTGTATTTTACACCTCTGCTGATTCATCTCTGTTTCTGTAACTGTACAATTCACAGATAGGAGCTGATGACATAAATGTGTTACTGTGTTTAGGAAGCATAGCTGAGATATGCATAGGACTCACAACCAATTAGGTGTTGTTACAGCCCCGGCAGATCACCATAAATATCTATAACCAAACCATGGTGATGACAGATTTTGACAAGATCAATTTCATAACAGACAAGTTCTGCCATGAAAAATGATATACAGACAGTAAAGTTTATAAAATTTACTTCATTTTCTTATCAGTTTTTACAAATCTTTTTAAAAATATTCCCACGATGAATGCTGGTACTGTTACCAGTTTAGCAGCCACTTTATCATTGATAGTTCCCGCAGAAATAAAAATATTACGAGAGATGCAGTTAAGCTTCCAAGTAACCCAGAGTAAAAAGCCAAACCTATATCCATAGATCTTAGAGTACTCAAACAGTTGGCAGGGTGCCAAGTTGTTTTTTTCTCTAGAAACTTACATTATCACTATATACCCTTAGAAATGAATTGTGTCAAAGATACAGCAAAGAAAAAGCAACACTGTTAGAAAAGAAAAGAGTAGTTTGGAAAGGGAGGCAATTGAGGCCAGAAGATGGATACTGTATATAAAAAGTGTGTACTGTAGACAAATTTTGTGATTCAGGTAATGTTTTATTAAATTATTGGACAAGTTCGAAAGTTAGACTTTCTTTCTGGTTGTAAAATAGAAAAGATCATTTATCTGCCTGTTTGCCAGAATTGATTGTAATGCATTTTAACATATCTTATTTAGTGTGGCATTGAGTGAGCTGATTTGTCCAGTGGGTATTCTCAGCAACAGCATGAACTCATCCTGCTGTCAGGTCTGAATTCCATTCATGAAGAATATCATATTTATTGTCAGAAACCAAGTCAAGGATAGCCTTTTTGGTATACCCCCTGTAGAGATATAGAGAGATATATGCCTGTGGTAAGGCACTGGACAAGATGGTGATGAGTAGGGTTTGGAGGTTTTACTACCATTCAGTATAAGGGGGAATTAGTCCAAGCAGAAAATATGGTTAACATCTGTTATTCTTAAACCACAAAATGGTGTGTTTCCAGATAAGATGATGTCTACTATGAACCAATATGAGAATTTAGAGTTTTAAAGGTTTAGAGAGTACCAGGTGGTGTCTGAATGGTCACTGGTTTTAAGGGTCCAGAGTAGTATATGAATGGACACTTGGCATAAGGTTGAGAGAGTGGTGTGTGAATGTACACTTGTCTTAAGGTTGAGAGAGTGGTGTTTGAATGAAAACCTGTATTGAAGGTTAACAGAATAGAGTGTGAATGGACACTTACAATAAGGGTTTAGAGGGTAATGTTTGAATTAATACATTGAGGGTATTGGAGGTTTAGAGAGTATTGTCTGAATGAACACCTTTATGGAAGGTTTAGAGAATAGTGTATGATTGGACACCTGTATTGAAGGTTTAGAGAGTAGTGTGTGATTGGACACCTGTATTGAAGGTTTAGAGAGTAGTGTGTGATTGGACACCTGTATTGAAGGTTTTGAGGGTAGTGTGTGATTGAACACCTGTATTGAAGGCTTAGAGAGTAGTGTGTGATTGGACACCTGTATTGAAGGTTTAGAGAGTAGTGTGTGATTGAACACCTGTATTGAAGGCTTAGAGAGTAGTGTGTGATTGGACACCTGTATTGAAGGTTTAGAGAGTAGTGTGTGATTGGACACCTGTATTGAAGGTTTAGAGAGTAGTGTGTGATTGGACACCTGTATTGAAGGTTTAGAGAGTAGTGTGTGATTGGACACCTGTATTGAAGGTTTAGAGAGTAGTGTGTGATTGGACACCTGTATTGAAGGCTTAGAGAGTAGTGTGTGATTGGACACCTGTATTGAAGGTTTAGAGAGTAGTGTGTGATTGAACACCTGTATTGAAGGCTTAGAGAGTAGTGTGTGATTGGACACCTGTATTGAAGGTTTAGAGAGTAGTGTCTAAATTGACGCTTGTTTTTAGGTTCAGAGAACATGAGGTTAGGGTGTATCTGAACACCTGTATCGAGGGTTAAGATAGTTGAGTTTTAATGAACATTTGTTTTAAGGGTTTAAAGAACATGGGGTTATAGACTTCCTTGATACCTGTATCAAGGTTTTCAAGATTAGTATCTGAATAAATCAACACCTGTTTTGAGGGTTAAGAAAGTATTGTCTGAATGGACACTCGTTTTGAGGGTTTAGTGAGCAAGGGGTTAGAGAGTATCTCAACAGCTGAACGAAAGGTTTAGTGAGTAGATTCATGCTGGACACGAGAGTTTAGAGAGTATAGTCTGAACAGACACTTGTCTTAAGGTTTAGAGAGTAGTGTCAGAATGAACACCAGTATTGAGGCTTTAGAGAGTATTGACTGAATGGACACATGCTCGGAGGGTTTAGAGAGTATTGTCTGAATGAATACTTGTTTTGAGGGGTTGAAGATTATGGGTTAGAAAGTAGTTATGTGTGTGGGCTCTTATATATGATATAGCTGGGTGTAGTTGTATATCTCTTAATAAATAACATAGGAATATTGAGGCAGAAGTGTATACTGTGTTTTTTATGAAAGTCAGAAATAAATATTTACACAGGATATACTTAACTAAGCGTATCATCTTTCCATTGCATGTAAATGTTTATATGTGATGTTTATATGTGTCAAGTGAGGTTATGATGGATGGTATGGTAGTGGTTTTTGTAGAGAATGTTTATCAGGAGATAACTGTGATATTAAAATGACATCAGAGATGGGAAAAGAAAGAAAATTAATCTTCATTTTAAGGATGAATATAGAAATAATGGAATTCATTTGAAATATAGGATGAATTCAGTTGAATGTCATTTGCTTAAATTTAAATTAAATTTTTTTTTGTATCCTGTAACTTGATATGACTTATCCATACAATTTCTGTCGGCAGATAAATACCAGATATTACCATAGAGAAATTTACAGTAACATAGCAGCAATGACTGAAAATTGCAACATTCCATATGAAATCCAGTGTGAGCAACATTGCCTTGACCATAGTATGAAATTCTCAATGGAATCATCTGTCATTATGCTAATTGTGAACTGCAAATCAAAAAATAAAAATTAATTGCTGCTGTCAAAAGTTGTATTAATCAAATATGTTGAGAGTTACTATCATTGAAATTCATTGAGATGTAGAAACTGTTCAGGAAAATTGTTAAATAAGACGTTGATATTTTAAATGACATCTCATTTTGAAACATTTAACTATTTATCCTTGATTTTGAAGAAGTACATGACCAGATATGTTTGTCGATTGTAGTTAAGCAACTTAAAACAGTTGATGAACTGCAAGCAAGAGTTGGGGCATTCCTGATGTTTCAGCAGAATTTTAGTTGTATTAAGCAATTGCAGCCCCACTTCCTGTTGGTACTTGAACTTCCTGTTTAGGAAACCATGCAGACAATCATAGCTATCAGCCTTGGTTTAAATGCACTTGGTTCAGTTTCAGTCTGTCTGTGACCTTTCTGCACTTGAGCTGAATAATTGCCAAATAATATCATATTCCCCACTAAATATCACCAAGAGCAGATCAGACATGTAAGGGAGATAATTTGATTAAATTAGTTGTCATGTACAAATATATAATGTCACTAGACCATATTCACATCAATCGCATAAAAATTAGAATCTATCCCATACAAATATCTCGCCAACCCAACCCTGTACTTGTGTTTTACACAAACTAAGAGGTGACTAAGTCCTCTTTGATACATCAGTTGTAATGAATTTGACATTAAAATTGTTAGGATCAAGTGGAGTTAGTAATGTTACACAGCAAATACTTTAGAAATTCTTTCCTCTCCTTTGTAAAGTGACAGAAAATCTGAAATGTATGTGTACACTTGTGAATCTAAATATCTCTCTCATCGTGTTATAAGCTTGTAAATTTATCACCGTCTCTTACATGAAGTTAATTGGACAGTGATATAGTATTAGTTGGTAGTTCATCTGATACTACATTGGGTTAGGGTGGGTTTATTAGCAAAATGGGCTTATTGCTGGATAAATAGGTTACATAATGTTTTTCTAGTAAAAAAATCATTGAATCAAAAACATAAATAAAAATTATTACAAAATCTAGAATAATGACATGACAAAAATAACTAAGATCTGTATATAATTACATTATAAGAAACAGGCAATCTCTTAATAAAGGAATGTGGAATAGGAATCAATATGATTGTGTTTAACTGGTAAATATATGAACAGAATGAACTCTTTCATACCCATCTTGTTCAGTGTATACTTGAAGTTAATCAGACACTTATTCAAAGCCTTGTCAACTTTAGAACTCAACCACTTAAAAAACTAACTTGGTAATTTTAAAAATGTTAAAATTCACGATCAAAGTAAGGGTATTCAGAATGATTTGCTGGACTTTAGAAATAAAAAAAATTAATTTTCAAGCTTTTCTCAACAGGAGGATTTTAAAAATTTACATAAATAAATACTTTAGCTGGTGAAGCTAAACATGTTTTCCAATGGCTTTATGCAAATGATGTTTTAGCAGCCTCTGTATCAGAAGGGTTGTAGACTTCATATGGTGTAGATATGGAAGAGATGTATAAGATAAAGACAGCTTGCTGGTAATGACCTTTGGGTGTTTTTGAATTACATGTCAGCTTACATTTGTATAAATTATTAAAATGATCAAATACATTGATGAGCTTACTTCACAATTATTTTGATATCTTTATGATGAGCCATCTTTTTTTTCTAATATTTGGAAGTGAGATAAAATATCTCCTGAAAATTCTTTTTAAAAAAAAATCATAGAGTTTATCATTGTAAAGCTGACTATACATTAAGCTACATGAAAGCAGATTTTTCTTTGATGTTTTCTTCAGAGCTGTGTAGGTCTATGTCTATTCTACATTAACATTCCTCTGACAGAGATTAATAGAAACAGGAAATTCAATTTTCAGAACAATAAAATTCACACAAGTCTTTGTTTTGATCTCTTTTCTCTGATGAAGTGTAAAGAATCTGTGCCTAATTATTGGTAAAGCATAGTCAACTTTTAAGTGCTTCAACACTTAAATGTTTTTACCACATTATAGGTATTAATACTAAACCCCTGAACAAAAATGCTAACAATTTTACCTTTACATGTAAATATATAAAACATGTATCATAAAATTTGTATTACAAATAGGACAGAGGATTGATCATTAACACAGTTATTGGTGGTTAAGCTTGTGATTCTTGGAATAAATTGCCAAAGATGTAATTTCCCTGTAACTGATTATGTTTTATTACCATGGTGACCAGGTGTTTTGTGTAGTATGTAACTATCACCAGATATGATACTACCCATCATCAAACAGATCCTCTACCCCTTCCCCCACAGTTAGATCATTTGTCCTACCCACTCTCTTCCCTGCCTGAATGTTACATCCCCTCCCTCAAAGCTAAATACTGTCCCCTTCCTTCCACTTCCCCTCTCTTTCATAGTTATATACTCTCTTGCTCCCTAGCCCTCCCTCTCCCTCTTAGATGCATTGTCAGACTCTAAGATCCCCGCTATCCTATCCTATGTCTGTCTGTCGGTCTGTCATTCTGTCTGTCTCTCTGTCTGTCTGTTACATACTATTCCTTACCTTTATATATCCAAATACCCTTTCCCTCTCCTTATACCCAATGCCATCACTATCTTTTCCATCACTCTAGTATTTAATTTCCTACCCCTTGCATAACATAATTCTAGTTGTTTAACAGTGCAGGTGGTCACAGATATGTTCTCATTATACACGTAAATCATTTTAAATAACATATCATATAAATGAGTCTGTTTTAAATTAAACCATCTTCTGAGGATTTTCTGTTTCATTAATTTCTTATTACATATGTATGTCATATAATTTCCCTTAGTTCTGAGGATGAAGATGATTTTAGGATTTATATGAACCATCCATTCTAGATCTGTATTTTCACAACTACAGACTATTGCATCAAGTGATTTGTGTTGTTGATTTGTAATTTTTTAGATGGCTCAAGAAGTCAATCTGATTCCTAAGGAAGAGAATTATGTGAACCCTTTCAAGAATGAAAACATGATGAAAGAGCAGGTAAGATAAAATTAATGATCAATTAGAGCAGAGGCGATGTTGCTGTTCTTAAATTAGAATTTTACAAAACCAACCAAAGACAAGAAAAGTGGGATCCTGGTTTATTTTGTCTACTGAAGTAGTGTGTCCTGCCAACCACTCACAAACATTTGAAGATGCAGTTTTGCAGTGTGATAAATGTAATTGTGTTTACTTTTGTTGAGGAGGATATTTCTTTATTTAAATTTAAAGATGATGATACTTTAGTGCCAGTCAACTAATTTCAACAATAATAGCTAAATCTTGGCTACCTGTATAGTCAAACACATGTGCAGAATTATTTCTCTGTAGAAAATCTCAAAACTAATTTAATTATCACAGATTCACTGTTAAACAGGTGAAACTATCTCTTTAACAGTATGCTCAAAAATTCTTGGTTAAAGGTTTCAACCTGAAAATCACCTACATAAGGATATCTATATATAGCCACATGTATTACTTGAAACATGCAATTTACAAGCAGTAATATAATAGAGATAAGGTTTGCTGTTCATGAAAAAACAGACAGACTCATAAAAAATGATGCCACTTTGCTGCAGTGCAATTGTCTGTAAGATTCAAGTAGCAGTCAAGTTATATTCATCTCAAAATCAAAACGTTTCAACATTTTGCCAAAAAAATTACAATGAATTGATTTTTGCTGCACTGTACTGGTAGAGCCTGTAGATTGACGGAAGCTAGTGATGTGTGGCACTAACTCAGTCAGTAGAGTGTTGGTCTACATGACCTTGGGGTGAGATCCAAGATGCATGGTTCGCTACCTGTGGCGATTTTTGTTTCTTGAGAAACTGAGAAATGAACCATTCTGTGTGCTCTCGTGGTTGTATCCAGGATTGTATGTGATGGGCCTCCAGTTTATTGATCAGTGAGGTAGCCACTACAAGGAGGTCCTGCCTCAAAATGACCCTGACTGATCGTGGGGTGATAAACCCAGAAAACAAAGAATCAAAATATCATGTATGTTTATCCAGCAATAAAGCTAGGTGTCAGATGCAAAGTAAAAAGTTGGCTTCTTGCAGAACAACAAAAATAACAGCTGATATAATTTCTATTTAGTGATGTTTTACCAGGGTGGGGTTATTATGAGACCTGCGTTTATTTCTGGATAAATACAGTTAATTAGATAAACTTTTACAGAACGTTATTGGGGAAGAATATTTCTGGATAAATACGGTAAGTGAGATAAACTTTTACAGAACGTTATTGGGAAAGAATATTTCTGGATAAACACAGTAAGTTAGATAAACTTTTACAGAACGTTATTGGGAAAGAATATTTCTGGATAAACACAGTAAGTGAGATAAACTTTTACAGAATGTTATTGGGAAAGAATATTTCTGGATAAATACGGTAAGTGAGATAAACTTTTACAGAACGTTTTTGGGAAAGAATATTTCTGGATAAATACGGTAAGTGAGATAAACTTTTACAGAACATTATTGGGAAAGAATATTGCTGGATAAATACGGTAAGTGAGATAAACTTTTACAGAATGTTATTGGGAAAGAATATTGCTGGATAAATACGGTAAGTGAGATAAACTTTTACAGTAAGTGAGATAAACTTTTACAGAATGTTATTGGGAAAGAATATTGCTGGATAAATACGGTAAGTGAGATAAACTTTTACAGAATGTTATTGGGAAAGAATATTTCTGGATAAATACGGTAAGTGAGATAAACTTTTACAGAACATTATTGGGGAAGAATATTTCACAGAGCAATCAAGTCTGAGATAACTGGAATGTATTTTAGGTACATAATTATAAAATGAAATGAAACTCGACCCATTTGAGACTTTGTTATCAGCTCTCTGCAGAAATATTGCAGTAGGCTGGTTAGGGTGTAACTTTTCAGATTTCATGTACCATCGTAAGGTATCATAGTAACTGTTATTGCTAGGATCTGCTTCTCTCAAGTTAACATTTCACGCTCAGACAAAATTTCACAAACTATCTCAAAACTGTATTTACTTCACAGATCAGAAAATATAATTGGTAAATGTAAATTGAGAAGACTTTGATAGTGATGGGAACTGATATTTTATATTTAATTGCCAACGTTGATTTCCAAATTGACATTTGAGTCATGGACTGATAGAGCGCAGTATGTGCCATCAAATCAATGCCTGTTGCTGTACTGATGTTTTTCATGTAGAATTTGGCTAGTATACATACACAGCTGCAATACGAGATATTTATGATAAATTAAGTTGGTGGTCCTGTTTCCAAATTCATCAGTCATTTAATCAAATTGCAATGAAACAGAATTAAATAAATGTGATATTGATATTAAATTAAATGTGATATTGACATTAGATAAATGTGATATTGACATTAAATAAATGTGATATTGACATTAAATAAATGTTATATTGACATTAAATAAATGTGATATTCACATTAAATAAATGTGATAATGACATTAGGTTAATATGATAGTGACATATAAATGTTATATTGACATTAAATTAAATGTGATATTGACATTAAATAAATGTGACATTGACATTAAATAAATGTGATATTGATTTTAAATAAATGTGATATTGACATTAAATAAATGTGATATTGACATTAAATAAATGTTATATTGACATTAAATAAATGTGATATTCACATTAAATAAATGTGATAATGACATTAGGTTAATATGATAGTGACATATAAATGTTATATTGACATTAAATTAAATGTGATATTGACATTAAATAAATGTGACATTGACATTAAATAAATGTGATATTGATTTTAAATAAATGTGATATTGACATTAAATAAATGTGATATTGACATTAAATTAAATGTGACATTGACATTAAATAAATGTGATATTCACATTAAATAAATGTGATAATGACATTAGGTTAATATGATAGTGACATATAAATGTTATATTGACATTAAATTAAATGTGATATTGACATTAAATAAATGTGATATTGACATTAAATAAATGTGATATTGATATTAAATAAATGTGATATTAAATGAATGTGATATTGATTTTAAATAAATGTGATATTGATATTAAATAAATGTGATAATGACATTAGGTTAATATGATATTGACATTTTAAGAAGCATAGCTTTATTGATGTTATACCCAGATATAAGTCTCAGTAATATTCATCAGTCCATTTGTCCACTCATCTTAAAACATCTTCTTCTATAGGAACCATGAGGAATAGGGTTATAACATTGGACTCTACTTTGCTGGAGTAGAAAGCTACTATAAAACATGAGTTGATCATAAGTGCCTTTCCATATTGCATATGAACTCAGCTACAAGGATACTTGTAGATATGTCAACAAACTTCTTTATCAGCATTTAATGATGAATGGGTCAAATGCTTTCATAAACTACCAAGATGTTTTTAATGTTTTCACAGTTTTATGTTGGAGCATATTGTGTTACCCTTGGCAAGCAACCTGTCATAATCTCATTTCCACTCCTTTACTCTTTAACAGTGATATAAAGCTGCTATTTGGAATGTAGTTCTGTGGTCATAACAATATGCAGGTCAAGTTGTGATTTGGTTTTGGTCAATTGATTTTAAGAATTTAAATCAGTTTTTTCACTGCAATGGTAAGATCTGTATTGAAGTATCTTGTCTACCTCTAGTAGGCATTGAAAAAAGAACAAAATCAAGGGGGAAATGCAGGCAATTTTATCATTGATGCTGCGAATGAACTTGGGTTTCATTACATAACCCAGTCATGAATACATCTCTTGACGAAGCCAAGATCACTGAAGAGATTTAAACTCATGTCACATTGACACATCTAACAATGAGATTGGTTACATGTTATTGTGGTGCATATGTCAGAATATTCAGGGGTTAACATAAGCTGTATGTCAGAATACTCAGGGGTTAACATAAGCTGTATGTCAGAATACTCAGGGGTTAACATAAGCTGTATTTCAGAATACTCAGGGGTTAACATAAGCTGTATGTCAGAATACTCAGGGGTTAACATAAGCTGTATGTCAGAATACTCAGGGGTTAACATAAGCTGTATGTCAGAATACTCAGGTGTTAACATAAGCTGTATTTCAGAATACTCAGGGGTTAACATAAGCTGTATGTCAGAATACTTCGGGGTTAACATTAGCTGTATGTCAGAATACTCAGGGGTTAACATAAGCTGTATGTCAGAATACTCCGGGTTAATATTAGCTGTTAGTCAGAATACTCAGGGGTTAACATAAGCTGTATGTCAGAATACTCCGGGTTAATATTAGCTGTTAGTCAGAATACTCAGGGGCTAACATAAGCTTAATGTCAGAATACTCAGGGGCTAACATAAGCTGTATGTCAGAATACTCAGGGGCTAACATAAGCTGTATGTCAGAATACTCCGGGGCTAACATAAGCTGTATGTCAGCATACTCAGGTGCTAACATAAGCTGTATGTCAGAATACTCAGGGCCTAACATAAGCTGTATGTCAGAATACTCAGGGGTTAACATAATCTGTATGTCAGAATACTCAGGGGTTAACATAAGCTGTATGTCAGAATACTCAGGGGTTAACATAAGCTGTATGTCAGAATACTCAGGGGTTAACATAAGCTGTATGTCAGAATACTCAGGGGTTAACATAAGCTGTATGTCAGAATACTCCGGGGTTAACATAAGCTGTATTTCAGAATACTCAGGGGTTAACATAAGCTGTATGTCAGAATACTCAGGGGTTAACATAAGCTGTATATCAGAATACTCAGGGGTTAACATAAGCTGTATGTCAGAATACTCAGGGGTTAACATAAGCTGTACATCAGAATACTCAGGGGTTAACATAAGCTGTATGTCAGAATACTCAGGGGTTAACATAAGCTGTACATCAGAATACTCAGGGGTTAACATAAGCTGTATGTCAGAATACTTCGGGGTTAACATTAGCTGTATATCAGAATACTCAGGGGTTAACATAAGCTGTACATCAGAATACTCAGGGGTTAACATAAGCTGTATGTCAGAATACTTCGGGGTTAACATAAGCTGTATGTCAGAATACTCAGGGGTTAATATAAGCTGTATGTCAGAATACTCAGGGGTTAATATAAGCTGTATGTCAGAATACTCAGGGGTTAACATAAGCTGTATGTCAGAATACTTCGGGGTTAACATAAGCTGTATGTCAGAATACTCAGGGGTTAATATAAGCTGTATGTCAGAATACTCAGGGGTTAATATTAGCTGTATGTCAGAATACTCAGGGGTTAACATAAGCTGTATGTCAGAATTCTCAGGGGTTAATATAAGCTGTATATCAGAATACTCAGGGGTTAATATTAGCTGTATATCAGAATATTCAGGGTTAGATGTCAGGATACTCTGAGACCAAATTAGGTGCTTAAATAATCACAAGTAAACTTACACAGGATGTTAGGAATCAGATTAAGCAGGATGTCAGAACACTCAGTGGTAAATTTAGACAGGGGTCAGATTAGACAGGATGTCAGAATACACAGGGGTCAGATTAGAGTTGATGCCAGACTACACAGATGTCCAATGATAAAGGATTCTTTTTGTAAAGATAAGGAATAAGTTTCAATTATATTTGAATTTGATATTTACATAGAGACAAAGGTCATACCAGTAAACCAAGAGACAAAGGTCATACCGGTAAACAAAGAGACAAAGGTCATACCAGTAAACAAAGAGACAAAGGTCATACCAGTAAACCAAGAGACACAGGTCATACCAGTAAACATAGAGACGAAGGTCATACCAGTAAACCAAGAGACAAAGGTCATACCAGTAAACAAAGAGACAAAGGTCATACCAGTAAACAAAGAGACAAAGGTCATACCAGTAAACATAGAGACAAAGGTCATACCAGTAAACCAAGAGACAAAGGTCATACCAGTAAACATAGAGACAAAGGTCATACCAGTAAATATAGAGACAAAGGTCATACCAGTAAACAAAGAGACAAAGGTCATACCGGTAAACAAAGAGACAAAGGTCACACCAGTAAACAAAGAGACACAGGTCATACCAGTAAACAAAGAGACAAAGGTCATATCAGTAAACATAGAGACAAAGGTCATACCAGTAAACAAAGAGACAAAGGTCATACCAGTAAACATAGAGACAAAGGTCATACCAGTAAACATAGAGACAAAGGTCATACCAGTAAACCAAGAGACAAAGGTCATACCGGTAAACAAAGAGACAAAGGTCATACCAGTAAACATAGAGACAAAGGTCATACCAGTAAACAAAGAGACAAGGGTCATACCAGTAAACAAAGAGACAAAGGTCATACCAGTAAACAAAGAGACAAAGGTCAAACCAGTAAACAAAGAGACACAGGTCATACCAGTAAACAAAGAGACAAAGATCATACCAGTAAACAAAGAGACAAAGGTCATACCAGTATATAAAAATACTCCTCATCAACAATTAGTGTAACACAGTGGGGCACAGTGGGGTGAAGCAGAATCAATTCCTGTCAATTTTGTACAAATTGGTTCTGCCTTTGTCTAACACCTTGACCAAGAAATGTCAGACCATATTATGGTAAAGATTCCATACAAGCCAGATCCCTTTCTTCTGACCCCTACCTCCAGGCTTCACAGTCAATATAATGCTCTGTAATGGTCCATGACTAAGTTCTAACTTCTGGTAACCTCTGGTCAGTGTCACTGACCCAAAGAATCGGCTGAACCCTGTCCTATTAACAAGAGTTCTAGTCTACTAGAGCAGGTTAACTATGATATTACAGCTCTATAGATCAGTAATGTGGTCTGAACTTAGCTACAGATTGGTACATTCTATTTCTTCTGACACTGTGGAGATGGCCAATGTTTTAGAATCTCTAATCTCTAAGGTTATGGGGACACCTGCCCAATCATGTTCTTCATTTGAAAAGAAAAAAAAACTCCATGCTACCACCAACACCAATAAAAGTGAACAGTCTATGGGAAAATGTGTCTGTTCTCCCTTATTGTATATAAGAAGTAGTGAAAAGGAGTATTTTTACACTGTATTAAAGATTTTAGGGTATATTGATAAAAGCTGGTGTGTGAGTTTGTATATTTGTATATTTAGTTTCTTTCTCTTGATTATACTATTACTGTGAATATCTTTGGGAAACTTTCTTCACAAATACACTATTGTTAGGCAGCTGCAGTTGAAGTGCCTTTATAATCAGGGACAGACAGATAAGTGATTGGTCAGATTGTTTGTCTGTGAAACTAACTTTCACCATAAAATTACCAAAGGTACAGGGAGATATTTTTAACACTTAGATTATACATTAATTCCTACTTTTTGATAACAAGTCAAGATATTAGATTATAACTAACAACCACATTAAGTACTCCAGTCAATACACCATATATTTGAAATTTCTGTGATGTATGTTTTTGTTTCCTTTGGAAATATGACTGCACTTTTTCATTTTGAGTCTTCTTTACTTTAACACAGATGAGGTTCAAAGACAGCAAACCAAAAAGTAAAGCAAAGAAAAAGAAGGAAAGAAAAAAGGGACCACGCCTCAGTGGAGGAGGCCAACATACTGAACTGTGACCCTGACCTTGACCTTTGACCTTTGTTTTTGATCTCTTGTCTACTGCATGTTAAGTTCAGTCCCCAACACTTAGATATGATTCCACTCTCAACCATTGAGATCTACAACATCAACACAAATAAATAGCCCTCAGTATATTAGCTCTTCATTAATGTTCATCATATTCAACCTTAACCTTTGACATTTCTGATATTTCTTCATTAAAATTATTGATTCATTGACCTATCAATCTCAAAGTCCTGATCACTAGATTTCACTGACCATGTGACCACAGTTGACCTCTGACCCATAATCCTTGACTTTGGATACATTCAAATTCTGATGGTCATTTACAATGAAGACTTTCGTCTGTATGTCTTAACTTGTATGCAATATTGTTCCTCTGGCAATTGCAAAGAAAAGACATGAACTCCATTGGAAAATCAAAGATGCCTTGGATTGTAGTTCAAAATATTGATAAACAAATCCTTCAAAATGTTGAAAAGCAAATCCTTGGAATTGAGAACTGGTTATAAAACTGATAAATACTGAATTTCATGCAAGTGGACTGGTAACACAGTTAGTAATTAGCCAAGGCCATTCTGGACTGAACCAATTTGACAGATATCACTTATTTGACTTTGATGGTAAGGAAACTAGGTTGAAACCTCATTTGTTGATAACAGTATGGGAGAGCCAAAGAGAGAGTGAAAGATTTTATATGTCCTGAGGAGAATATGCAGAATGTGTGAAGGACCTAGGGCATACAGAAGTGTATGTCTGAAAAAGTGATAACAATTTGGGAGTATTTGATGCCTGAATGGTCATGAAATTAGTCACAGACTAAGATGAAGGTCAATATGAAAGCCAATCACTGATTGGTTACTACATGATGTCACATGACTTTTTAAAAATCTGTCCAGTTTTATTATATAACAGAAAGTTACTTGTTAAATTGTTATATTGCTTCATGTTACTTAAACGTGTGTGAAATTTTATGATGTTTTTTGATGAAATGTTTCTTGTTGTAAAATCTTTTAAAGATATGAACAGATTTACTGATTTACAAATTGAATCGTTAGTTTTTTGATGGCATTTATGTAATCAAAGAAGAAGTGATTATACAAGCTAAACTAGGCTTATATTTAAAGCAATAACATTAATGAGGCTGATAATTGATGTTTTTGAATATTGGATTAAGAAATAATTTGAATTTTTTGTTGTTTACTGGTGTAAAAGTTGCTGTTTTTTCAACAGATATTTTAAATGAAGTGCGTTATGTTGGAATGTCTGTAACAAAATGCAGTTCATTAACCAGAAAGCAGCAAAATAGAAAAAAAAAATTCTTACGTTTACATGTTTTATTCATGGACCATCCAAACTCCTGATGGATTAGCGGAATAACTGATTACATTTTGGGGGGTAAAGTTGTCAGACTTGATGTTTACAGAAGTGTTAACATAATTTTTTATGGTAATGCCTAATAGAAAGGTCACACTGGAACTATGTAACATGTAACATATTGAATTGCAGATACTGTTGTTCTGAGTTTTTGTGAAGTTTAACTTAACCAACAACCATTGTCATAATTAATTGTTAGATTCTGGGATAATAAGCTGCATCTTTTACATACTTAGTACAGAATGTCAAGTATATATGGATTTTCCTTCAAACTACCTAGAAAATAGGCTCAGATCTATAGTAAATATGATACATGCACATAGGCGTAGGACCATGTGACCATGCCAAAGTGCATCATATTAAAAAGGCCATGACGAGATGATGAATGGGTTTTTGATGTACTTGTTTACATCGTATAATTCAATGGGGCCAATTCTAGAATGGAAGGAACAGGCATCAGAACTTAGACCCCACTCAGATTTCAGAAAGGTCTTTGGAGGCTACCAACTTGAGTCAGTGTGGAATGAGAGTTATTCTTATAAAATCAAGACCTTAGCTAAGAAATAGGTGTAGGTATGGGTAAAATATGCTTTTGCCATGTATGTGAAATACAGAATCAATTTTTAGAAAAGGTTTGAAGGTACTGAGAGGTAAGAAAGTGCTACATCAATCACCTATCACTTAGTGTATTTTTAGAAACAGAACAATTTTAAGTCACAGAGTCAAGACATATTCACAAGTTTATTGGTCTTAGTAAATATTTAACATTCATATGGCCCTTTTTTAATATTATATCTTAGTATGATCTATTGATCATTTTCTATCTACATTTGATACAGTAGTTTCCAGATATATTGTTATGCTGCCAAGGTTTGGTGCTATACTGCAAAATATCATAATATTTATCCTGATATAAATGTAATGAAGACCTGCGTTTGGTAGGTCAATTTTTTTTATTTTCTTTACTGATAGTCGGTTTATTGTATCATAAATGTTAGTTCTAGCTACTTAGAGTTGCATGGCATGGTTTGCTTTAAATTTGTAATCCTAAAACAACACTTTATTTTTATTATTTTTTATTTCTTTTTCAAGAATTTGCCAATGAGCATGATGAAGCAACAGCATGATTATATGTGATCTCATAAAGAACATCCAGTATTTCAGATTGTGTTTGTGCACTTGTTCAGGAAGCAGTATTAGTCAAACTCGAGAACCATTCTTTGCTGCTTTCTGTGGAGAATTCATATAGACTAATAGTTAGTCTGTAATTGGACCTCCTATGGGCAATAGATGTGCAATTTCACAGATCTGTATTACAGCAGATAAGAGATAGTTTATGTTGTAAAAATAGTTTATGTAGATGTGCTATGTTTGATGTTTCTGAGTTTTCTATAGAAAATAAACCTGAAGATAGATTTGGGAGGCTTTTAAAGTATTCTGCATAAGAAGATTATGTTACTGGTAATCAAAACTGACGTCATCAAACATACATCATTTTCTTTATCTGTCGCCCATATTGCATTCATAGTGACAATAAATACAATCTGACAGACATTCAATGGTTATATTTAAGAATCAGATATTATTTAAAACATTTTTTTTTTTTTTTTTTTCGATTTAGATTTTTTTTTTTTTGCTGTATGTTTGCATGCTTTGAAAGTTTTTTTAAAATCACAATCAGCTAAATGATTAACGTAAAGCTATAATATATGTTATCTGAGGCAACATGCAAAGCATTGGTGTAATGTCAGTCAGAATGGCAGGAAAATGATGTCATCTAATTGTCCTTTGGTCCAGATTGCATCTATACTCCTGTGAATACAATCTGGATTAAAGGTGAGTTAATGGGACATCGTCATGAAAAATGTAAATATAGTTCTGATGTCTGGAGGTGACATGTTGTCAGAGGTTACCTCAAATGACAGGTGGTTATGATTTGATCATTACATCATGAGAAGAAGTTTTTATGAAAAAAATCATGCTGTTTTTCCTGAAATGCAGTGTGCCTTCATATTGCCAATAACCTGAATTCATAAAAAAGATTTAATGTTTAAATATCACTGGAATTTTTGTGTGGATTTTTTTTTATGGAATTGCACAGTATGGACAGGAAAAACAGGATGTTAATCTTGAAGTTCAATAATATAAGACAAAAAAAAACCTGTTTTAGATATATAATAAGATACTTAGTGATTTGTAATTGGTTTTCTGCATCATCATAATGTTCCTGTAATGACATCACTATCACTATAAACAAGGCTCCAATCACAAGAGGAAATCAATGTACAGGTACAAATGATCTTGATAGAGTAGGTGGTGGCCTGACTGGTAGAGAACCTTGACTACTTAGTGTATTGATCACAGTGTCCAGCCTGCCTGTAAAATCTAGAACTATAAATCATGTGATATTGTGTCTCATTGTATTGGTCATAACTGTTCAACAGTGAAGCTGAACAAGAACAAATGATAATGAATTTTTGAAAGCAATATGCTATTGAAGTACTTGGTATGTTGTAATAGTTAACAGAGGTATTCTAGATTCAAATATTATGCTCTGTGTGAATGACTGGCACCTTTATCAAACTTTTTTCCATTTGTGACAAATTGTCCAATACTTTTCTTATTCGTTTCTGTGTAAAAATATTGGTAATGTTTCATAATGTCCTCCCTTGAATTGCGCTGAAAAATGAAAAAAAAAATGAGAGAGAGAAAAAAACGTAGAGAGTTTTTCGGTTTCTATTTGCAAAGGTCCGAACTGAAAATAGTTTGAATAATATTTATTAGTATTGTACATGGCATGAATGGTAACAAATTAATATGCAGCAGTTTTACAGATGATGTGATTCCGAATGATTGAGTCTGTGTTGATATTCTGTGTATCTTTATATATTGAATGCAACTAAAGAGAGCAGAGTTGATGAACCATTAATTGTAAGAAATATAGTTTTGATATTCATGTCCTATCATGGCGTTGGTGTATGTGCTGATGATTTTGGAAAATTGATTATGAAATTATACAGATTTATACTGTTTTTTTAAAATGAAAAGGACTTAAATGTATTTTTTTGTTTTGATATAAAAATAGGTTGATACAATTATGATATACTATGTGATGGAACTTTATCAAAATTGCTTTATTGTGGCAGAACATATTTATATAAGTAGAAAGCAGTGGTAGATTTGTTGAAAAGTTATGAATATTAATTGAGTTCCAAGAGTTCACTCATTAAATACATCCACATACACTGATTAAATGGGGGAATTAATGTAATTCTTAAGTCATTACTAATTTCCTGTTTAATAGGAAGTCCATACTGAAGTAGCATTTTACTTTTTCATTCACCGTTTTTATAAACTAATATGGTTGGAGTTTTCAGAAGACTATTAGAACGCCTGACGTTGAAAGCTTCCACTGTCTGTGGTTTTTATTACCTAATCTTATTTATTTATCTGCTCCTTGCTATCATGTTTTTATTGAAATTGTATTTCATTTAAAACTCTTTATCAAGCAAAAAACTAGAACGAAACATAAATTGTTCAAAGAAATACATTGTATAAAGGTTTTGAGTTAAGCTAATATGATCCAGATGGAATATGTTTAAAGATAGCAACAATGTAT